ACTTTACGCTTGCTAGTGTTGTCCACCACCTAGGAAAGCGGCTCCAACACCTGAAAACTGTGACAGAAGTATGATGGGTAATTCATTCTACACAGTAAAAGTATGATGGGAATAAGATCCTTGTACCGGGACCCAAGTTCAGAAGGAGTTATTGGGCCTCGAACCCAAATGCATATGATGGTCCTAACCGTCTCAAGAGATGCTGGGTGGCGAACCCAAAACCTTAGACTGTAGAAGATATTGGACCCTCACCCAGAAACTTAGACAATGCAGTAAAAATTGCAAGCTACAATATCCTTGTTACATTTGAGGCGGAACATATATAGTTACCTGGAAGCCAACCTTGGTATATAGATGTTTGTACCAACATATATATGTATGTATCTATATACACGTCTGTGTATGCATGTTGGTATATGACATGAAGGCATGCATACACACCTGCATATGGATGTGTAAGCTTACATACACACATGCTCATGCTGTTTCCATGTTCATGCTTTTCCCATCCTTATGCACACATACATATATGCTTAATACATATGTACATACACGGGTATATACGTACATACATAAGTATCACGGAAACATGTGCAATATTTCTGAAATAAGCGAGCATATGTGTATGCAACAATGAGGCATTTAGGCAGCCATGCACTGAAAGGAAAATGGAGGGCCGCAGGCTCCTATCCCAAACCCCGAAAGGGCATGGTGGGTACAGGATGCGGAATTTCAAATCTGTGTGGAAGCACGTCCTCCACACCTGTACATATATACATCTACATATACATGTAATATATGTGTGTGTACATATATATATATATATACATAGATATGCACGTATACAAGTTCATGCACTCTCGAAGCCTATGCAACCATATACAAGTTCGTGAACTTTGGAAGCCCATGCACGCGCACACACATGTATATGCATAAATCTATCTCTATATAAATATGCACATATAGATAGGTTTTTTTGCGATATACATGCAAGTACCTGGGTATGTAACCGCTGCAGTTGCACACACGATGTAAATTGGAACCTTGCAAGCATATTATGGGTGGATGACACATGTATACATGCATACACACACATATAACTTTGTGTGCATCACGGAAATGGGTAATTACATTGTCTTTGGGATTTACATGGAAGTGGGTGGATGATGGCGAACAACAGGTCTTCAATAGAATAACTGATTAACATGCCCTATTACACCGTAAGCTAATCCTTAAAAGGTGTGGCCCACCCAGCCAGAAATGCAAATCACATTAGGGGATGCTGGGAGACCACCAGAATAAAAACCAGAGTCTGAACACTTTAGTACATATCACGGGCTACACTTATCCACGAAAGATATATAGTGTGTAGCGAACCTGAGTACCGAAAACGATGACGTGTGTCCAGAGCATCCAAACTCTACTGGAAGACATTCGGCTGAAACGCAGTGCCGCGCATGGATGTAATGAGCCAAACCCCCGTAGAAGTTCGATGAGTGGCGGAACCACAACTGGATCCTCAAATCGATGACTGTTTTCCCAAATACAGGCAGACTAGAAGATATTGCACTCTCAATCCAAGGCTTCAATAGTAGATGACGGGGTAGCAAACCTTCAAAGGTGGCAAACCCCTCAGAGCTTTATAAGTGTAGCCACGGCTTCAGATGCGGTTGTATATACACATCGATGACGGTCTGCCTGTCAATATAGTCGCTTTTATGCTGCAGCCCACGCCACAATTTCAATCCCTAGTTGAAGACATGATATATACATTAAGTTACAGGTCAGCATTCGTATGCACATGTAAATATACACATTTCCATAAACACGCATCCATTAAAGCCAGATGCATATGTGGATAGACACCCAGGGGTTGTGATGGATTCTTAATGATTTTGACATGATATGCCAGATCACGCACCTCAACTTCAATGGAGATGCTGGATGGCAAACCTCCTCCCTCTTCCCCAACAAACTCCTACTTCGTGACATGCCCAAGGCTCAAAATCAAGGGTGCATGCCTGGATGAGGCAACACAACGCTTAATATTCTGGGTGCATAAACTCGTGTGAAAACCTCTAAATTACCGAGAAATACACGCCACCAGGGCGTTGCACTCTCAAACCCTAAGCCTTAAACCCTAAACCCTAAGGTGCGGAGCCCAGTGTTTGGCGCTTCGTGCCTTAGGGTTTACAGGATTCTGGTGCAGGGCTTTAGGGTTACATTTTCGGATCTTGTCTTTAGGGTCTGGAGGCTTGGGCTTGAGGGTTGAGGATTTAGTACCCGTGCGGTATTAAGTCGCAACCATGAACCTCCAGGTACACCCCAAATCTCAGACCTGCTGAAGGGTTCAGGGGTTAGCGTTTATTGTCTGACTGGTAGCGCTAATCCAAGGGTAAAAGGAGGGACCCTTAATAAGGACTCCTAGGTATATACCCTTCATATAGCTATGATATACCCCTTATATAGCCCATTGTAGGGTAGGGGTCCCCATTAAGGGTCCCTCCTTTTCCCCTTTGAGCTACGACCACGAATCCTCAAAGCCCATGCAAGAGCCGTGGAACCCAAACTTACGCAACGTCCAAAGCCCCGAGCTGAAACTTAAGCCGGCACGACCAAAGAACGTGAAGCTTTAATCTCAGTGAAAAGGCTTAGTTCAGCCCCAAAGTCGGCAGGCTTTAGTATAGAGGCCTGAATAAGAAGGAGTCACGTCCGGTCATCACATCCCCGTACAGTCCCCATATACATCCAAGGTTATACATCCCCAAACCCTATTCTAATGCATCGATCAACGGAATGACATTCGAATCAGCAAGGCCCGTTCTTGAAGGGCATCAGTTGAAGGAGCTCCATGTCGAAGCCTTGGGGCTCAAACCCTTTTTTTGAGTCCCCCGCTGCTTCGCACTGTAGCAGCCACAGCGGCTTGGCATCTCAGAGCAGGATATGGATTGATGCGGATGATGATGATGATGCTGATGATGATGATGGTCATGCCGGTGATGATGATGATGATGAGGATCATGATGATGCCGATGATGATGAGTGAGGATGATGATAGTGGTGATGGTGATGTGACTGGTGGTGGTGCTGACATTGAGAGAGCAACGACTATGATGCTCGTGGGTGTGGTGATCGAGGATCATGGGACCTTGAGGGTCATGTTTTGCGTTTACCAGGCTTTCCGATTTGCTGAGGATGAACTTTATGCTAATTAGGATGGTTGCTTGCTGCACCTGTTCTCAGTATGATGTGTACGCATGTGTACTAGCAGTGCCAGCTAAACCCTAAACCCTAAACCCTAAAGCCTAAACCCTAAACCCTAAACCCTAAACATCCACAGCTAGCATGGGATTAGGGTTTCTGTCTGAACCTTAACGCCCTAAGCCCTGAGTTACAAGTGTCACTGCAGAGTTTGAGGTTTCACGTGCTGGGAGCTTTTGAACGTTTCACCCTAAACTCAAACCCAAACCGTAATGTAGCAACCTGATTAAGAAGCCCTGGCCCTATAACCCCCAACGTATTAGGGTTCCTACAAGGAACCCTAAGAACAGGGCCAAGGTTTCTTAAACAGGTTCCTACATCAAACCCTAAACTCCGCCCCTCCATAGGAACCTGATTAAAACACACTGACTTAATAAGCCCAAAAGAGTAGGTTCCATATGAATCCCTAAACCTTACAACCCTATATAGATCCCTTCAAGGAAGCCCTTAAAAGGTACCATAAGGTACCCTTATTATGGGTACTGCTTGATTTCTTATTACCCTAGCAAAGACCGGGTCCCTAGATCGTTTCGATGTGGGGAGTCGAGGGTCGACAAACTCCCTTTTGATCCGATGCTATACACCAAATCGGGAGTTATGAGGGTTTCTTAAAGGGTCCCTTTCAAGGGACCTAGAGGGAATCTATAAGGGTATAGGGTTTAGGGTCTACTTGGAGGCTCATGGGTAGTTATAAGTGGGTCATAAGTAGGGCAACTATAGCTATAATTCATAGTAGGGGATGTATAACCCCACTTATAACTACCCATGAACCTCCAAGTAAGAAAACCATGGAGACCGGAATACTTCTCTATAATACTCCCAGGGTTCCTTATCATAACAACACCGTCATGTGACCCAAAGCCGTATTCTAATTATTCAGGCCCGTAGATGGAGGATCATGGTACTTAGTAAGTAAGGTTATACGTACCGTAGTTGGAGTTATAAGTCAGTTTGTCTACAGCTACCTTATTTAGAACCCTAGTCACAAAGTCCCATGATCCTCCAAGTAGATGAGCAACCCCTGATAGTTCAGACCCTTTACCCCAAAGCCCCAAACCCGCCTTGGAGGCTCACGGGTCGCTTCTAGTGGGGTTACAAGCTAGGGTAGCTTTAGTTATAACTTACGGTTGATGATGTAAATCCTGCATGACCTTACGGACCGTAAGGTATGGGAATTATGGTATATATATTCCGTAGTAAGGGTAATGCAGGATTTATATCATCAACCGTATGACCCATATCAAGGGACTCGCAGCTCCGTTTATAGCTCACCATGAGCCTCCGAACTAATCCTGAACCCTAAAACCAAAACCCCATAAGGTAAAAGCCAGAAAGTTGGAATATGATTATCCTAACCCTTCTATGGTAAATTATAGGGTATCTTACCATGAAACCATATTCCAACTTTCTGGAGTTCCCTGTAGTCCCATACCCTAAACCCTAAAACCAAGACAAGACCCCATAACCCTAAACCCGAAAACCCCCCGTAACCCTCAACCTGACGACTGAAATTTCTACACTCTCGACCCTGGGCCCTAAAAACCAAAACGAGTTCCTAGCTATTTTTTTGCCCATTATAGGGTAGGGGTCCCCATTAAGAGTCCCTCCTTTTCCCCTTTGAGTTTAGGGTAGTCCAGTAAGGGTAATGCAGGACTTATATCATCAACCCTCAACCCTAAACCCCCTATAGATCCCTTAAAGGAACCCCTTTTCCCCTTTGATCCTAGGACAGAGAAACCATGGCGCTTGGCACGCTGTGGTGCTCAGGGGTGTTCGGGGTTTGGGGCTTAAGATCTAGGAATCTAGGGTTTAGAGTTTAAGGGTTCAGGGTTTAGGGGTTAGGAATGTAGGGTTTAGGGTTTAGAGTTTAAGGGTTTAGGGTTCTTTGGGGGGTTTGGGGGATTTAATCATTCAGGCTTAGAGGGCTTGGGGTTCAGGGTTTCTAGGATGCCCAGTAGTACCCTTATTCCCTTTTTGTAGTCCTAGGTTCCTTATAAAGTTACCCAATACCAAAAAGAGAGGCCTTTTTATTCTTAGGTTACTGGGTATCCTACAAGACGTACAGGATCAGGGGACTCCAATGCATGGGCTTCGACAGTTACGCGCAGCGCAGGCCGAGTTGGGACATTCATGATCCCGGCCATACGGTTGATGATATAAATCCGGCATGACTTTAATGACCCTAAACTATGGGATTTATGGTATATTCCTCATTATTAGTAATGCAGGATTTGTATCATCAACCGTACCCTACATGCTACTCCACTTTGATCTTTTCTCATAAACCTACTTACGACTCCCTCTCATGCAAACCTTAAGCAAAATACCCTTAATCGGAAGCCCTAAACCCTGAGAGTTCGGCGTCACAGTATTCTTGGTCGAGGTTGAGTTCAGCTGTTGCTGGAGTTCGGAAATACCCAGGCCCGGATATACCTGCGCCACTGCCTGTTCGGAGTGGGTGCTGCGCAAGTAGGGGGCTGCCAGGACCTGTGTAGGTCTCGGGTACTTAAAGGTTCATGGGACTTAGTATCTAGGGTTATAACTAGGGTAACTGTACTTATAACTACTTATAACCCCAATTAAGGTACTTATAACCTGGCTTACTAAGTCCCATGATCCTCCAAGTAGGCGAGGTTTCCCGCCGTTCTTCCTGGTGGTAGCTGCTGTTGGAGTGGATGTCACGCACCGATGAGCCGCTAATTGCAACCGGAGCCGGGCAAGCTGGAGGATTTCGAGGGGTTTAGGGTTTAGGGCTGTATTGCACTATGCTGATAAGAGTAAGTCTGCTGAACTGCCCCAGGACAAGGGATTTCCCTGCAGGAGGGATTTTCAGCAAGACTGCTCACAAGAGCAGGGACTCTCACCTAAAGATCGGTGCTGCTGAAGCTTTGACAACTCTGACCAATGCCAGACCCTACGACGATGCCACGACCAAGATGATTGAGTACATGGTGGAAGATGTGACTTTTGGAAGCTCGAGGGCAGCATCCATGTGTTGGGCAACAATTCTCTGGTGTCAGAGCTATCAACACAAGACCACACTGGCATCATAGATCTAGGATGCCCAGTAGTACCCTTATTCCCTTTTTGTAGTCCTAGGTTCCTTATAAAGTTACCCAATACCAAAAAGAGAGGCCTTTTTATTCTTAGGTTACTGGGTATCCTAGGAGGAGTTCATCGATAAGGGTCAGAAGCCGAAGGATCCGAGCCCTGTTACTGTAAAGTAAAAGCCAGAAAGTTGGAATATGATTATCCTAACCCTTCTATGGTAAATTATAGGGTATCCTACCATGAAACCATATTCCAACTTTCTGGCTTCTACTGTAATTATGAACAGGAATCTTACAAAAGTCGGCAGGCACCCAGCACATCTAATCAACACCCTAAACTCTAAAACCCTAACATCAACAGTCCTAAACCCTGAAGCCTGGGTTGTGGTCTAAAGCCCTTACCTTAAAGCCAAAACTAAAGCCTGAGAAACCTCGACTTCTAGACGAAAGATCCACCGGCAGGTACGTGAAAGAAGCCGTCTACAAGGCCGAGAAGGCTGGAGATATTTAATGGAGAAACCTGCAGCCTCGATCCCAAGCCGTAATTTAGTTGTTTCAGAGTTTCGGTTCGTTTTTTTGCAAGGGCTTGGGTTGGGTTGCTTTTTGCATTTTTACAGGGTTTGTTTTTCAGGGTTTGAGGGTTTAAATCCTATTTGGCCTCTAAAAGTGTTAAGTGTTTGTGTACCTCTGGTGTTTTTCAGTGTTTTTTTCAGATGCTGCTGCGAGCAACAGAGTCACTGATTCAGAAACTCTGATACTTGCAGCAGAAGCGAGAAAGTTGGAACATCATTAGCCTCATGCTCTTGAAGTAAACTAGAGGGAACCCCCGCATGAATCATCCTGAGTATTCGCATTTATATTGGTATTCTTACTATTCGTAATGGTATATGGGTTTTGGCATTCATGTTGGTAATTTTCACGAATTACCCTTAACGAGTCTTTGCGTTTAACCCTTCGGCAGGCCTTGGTGGCCGCCAAGTTTACCGGAGCCTCCCTTGAGAAGAAGGAGTTTGACCCGGCCAAGGCGAGTAACATCAGAAGCATCGGCTTCCTCTAAAGGGAACTCAAAATTGGGGTCCCTTTTTTGGGTCCTTATTATTCTAATACGGCACCTAATATTATAGGATCCTTAAGGGAGGGTGGTTCAAGGCGGGAGGGTATAAGGACCCCCCCATCCCGCCGCCCAAAGCCCCGTCCGAACAACAACGCGCGTAATACACACCGTGGGCCAACTACGAAGGCCCTTAAGGGGACTCCAGAAAGTTGGAATATGGTTTCAGGGTAGGATACCCTATAATTTACCATAAAGGGTTTAGGATAATCATATTCCAACTTTCTGGCTTTTACCTTAAGGCATCCTTTAAGGGATCTTCTAGGCGTGCCTTCAAGGGTTCCTGTAAGGGGTTCCTGTGAGGGATCTTTAGGGCTTCCTGTAGTTTAAGGGTTCCTGCAAGGGATCTGTAGAGGTTCCATAGACGGTTCCTTTAAGGGAGCTATAGGGGTTCCGTTGAGGGCTCCTTTTAGGGATCTATATGGGTTCCTTTAAAGGTTCCTGTAAGGGAACTGCAGGGGTTCCTTCAAGGGTACTATAGGGGTTCTTTTAAGGGTTCCTTTACGGATGCGATAGATGTAGGGCTTGCAGGGTCTTGAGGGTTTAGGGTCTAGGGCTACCTGGCATGATAGGTCCTTTTGTCATACAGGTTTTGTACAGTGGGGAAACTGTTTTAGTTTTTACTGTAGTGGCCTTGATATTGAGAGTTGGGTTTGGGGTACATAGAGTTCAATTCTATCGGGATTGCAAGGGGGTCACCAGGGAACAATACAGAGGTCGGAACACTTACGAAAAGGATACCCTTCTATATGGTTTTACTATAACCTACGCCCCTCCCAGAACTCGATTCGAAGTATTCGTCCCCGTGCGGTTCCACTGTTGTGTACCCACACAACTCTATGACCAACCATTGAGGCCCCCTCTGTAAAGTCTGTGTTAGGCTACTAATTAGTTAGAATAGGGGGTCCTTTAAGCGTTCTTTAAACGATGTCCCATAAAGGATTACTATAGTAAGTAGTGTCTAGTATTGTCGGGGCCTTAGGAATTGGAATAGGGTTACAGTACACTTACATTAGGGAACCCATTTGTTGCTGATGCAGAACCTTAAGCCGTTTTTCCTAGAGCTTGGAGCTACAAGTACATTGTCTGGGTAAACGCTTTAGCAAATGGAGGTTGGCGGTTTGTGGTTTTGGTGGGGTCATGCCGCAGCTGTGATGTTCGCCGCAAGCCTTGCCGTTTTGGCAGCCGTGATGTCCCAAGCCTTTTTTACCGCCTTGGTTTTGAAGCTATTGTTGAGTGCTTTTCGGCTGAGGTCGCCTGACAACACCTTACGAGCCCCAAGCGTTCAACCCGGAACTCCAAACTCATAAACCCTAAACCCAATGTACTGCTTGCTTACCGAGGCCCCTATGACAATGAACGATGAGCAAAATCGGTACCTTTGCAGGGAAGCTTCCTTGGTCAGCTGCGCCCCTTGTGAAACTGTAGGTAAGCAAGCACTGTAATGCAACTGTATCAACCCCAAAACCAAAACATTAAGGATCTAAAACCCCTAAACCCTAAAGCCTAAAGCCGCAAGACTGCTAAGCACCGGGCGAGGGTCGTAGGTTTGGCTTAGGGTTTCGGGTTCTCAATTCAGAGCGTCCTTTCCTCCAGGCTCGCCCTCTCTGCAGAAACCCTTAAACTCTAAACTCTAAACTTTAACCCCTCAACCCTAAGAACCCTTAAACCCCAAACCCTAAACCCTAACCCCTAAACCTTTGAACCCTCAACCCTCAGCCCTAAGCAGCCGAACTGAAATCCTAAGGTTCGGGACAGAAGCCTTAAAGGGTGGCTCGAAACAAGCCGCACCTCTGAGCCCCAAGCCCCAAGCCCCAAGCTCTAGGCGTACAGCCGTACTTGGAGGTTCATGGGTAGTTATAAGTGGGGCTATGGGGTTCCTTTAAGGGTTCTATCGGGTTTAGAGGTAGTTATAAGTGGGGTTGTAAGTAGGGTAACTATAGTGATAATCCAAATCAGGGGACTTATAAGCCCACTTATAACTACCCATGAACCTCCAAGTAAAACCCCCCGGGAGGACGCAAAGAAGCCCGATTTCCTTTCGAAGAACCCTTCCGGAAAGGCGGGCTCAGGGGTTCAGGCTGTCTCAGGGCTTTGGGAATTAATCTTTTTGTTCTAAGGACTCCTGAGGAATCCGTTTCTACGTATTCCGACCCAATCTTATTGGGTTTGGCAAGGAGTTTACGGGCAAACTAAGCGTTTGAGACCCAGTTCAGGTTTTTATTTGTAGATCCTTGCTGATAACGCCTACTTTCTCTCCTGGCCGTTGATATGGGCAGGATCTCGAATGCCACGACCCGATCCGGTTTCGAGGGATTGAACATAAGGGTGTTCACAGGTAAGTGTAAGTGTTGGAGATTCAATGAAAGATGCGTGGGACATCCATGTGCTTAGCAGTTCCTGGGTATATTGGCGAGCAGGCATTTATCCTCATTCAGACAATTATATCCGTTTGTAGCTTGGGTCACGCTGCAGCCCTTCATTTAGGGGCCCTTGAACCTCCAAACACTAAGCCCTAAACCCCAAAACCCCTAAACCCCTAAACCCCTACACCCCTAAACCCCTACACCCCTAAACCCCTAAACCTCCAAACCCTACACCCTAAACGCCTAAAGCCTGACCCCTAAACCCTAAAACCCTACACACCTAAACCCCCAGACCCCTACACCCCTAAACCTCCAAACCTTGAACCCTAAACCCCTCAACCCTAACCCCTAAACCTTAGACCCTGAACCCTACATCTTTTGGGCCATGAGCCCGAAGCAGAAGATGCCGAAGCCCTGCACAAGGCTTAGACCTTAAGCTGGGTTCTGGTTAAAGGGCTTTGGTTTGAATTACAGTATGGGAGTTTCCGAAATATAGGGGGGACCCTATTTTGGGGTCCTTATAATAAGGATCCTACTATTTAAGGTGCTATATCAGGATCCCCGATTTTCGGAAAGCACATGCGCAGCTCTGAGCACGAAGCCCTAAAGCCCCAAACTGCCTTAAACCGGAAACCCCGAAACCCTGAAATTTAACCGCCCAATCCCCAAACACCAGCACGAGTCCTAAGCACCCCTTCCCGAAACCCTCAAGTACGTAGGGGCCTAAAGAATTAGCAATACTATTGTGGGGTTTCCTTATCATAACTATAGTATATTGGGCCCCAAAACCCATTCTATTTTTTTTACTAAGGTGCCTGTATTAGACTTATCAGGGTTTAATTAAGATCAGCCGGAGGTCGCCTACCTCGAGACACCCCCTAAACTGAAGCGAGCTGCGGGCGCTGCGAATAGCAGCAGCGAGCGTGCCGAAGCGTCAGTGAGGCTGGCTCCGCAGCTGGCGCGACAGGCGCAGCGAAGGAGCCCCAGCACCGGCTCAGGTGCTGGCGCATGCGACAGGCATGCTAGCCAATCAGAACAATATGACCCTAAACCGCCAAGCTCGGAGGGCCCCATCCCTTAGGATTTAGGATTTAGGATTTAGGGTTTAGGATTTATAGGATTTAGGATTTAGGATTTAAGATTTAGGATTTAGGATTTAGGATTTAAGATTTAGGATTCAGGTTTTAGGGTTTAGGATTTAGGATTTAGGATTTAGGATTTAGGATTTAGGCTTTAGGATTTAAGATTTAGGATTTAGGGTTTAGGATTTAGGATTTAGGATGTAGGATTTAGGGTTTAGGATTTAGGATTTAGCCTATGCGCCTGCCTGGGTGGGCCGGCCTGGGCCCTCCTCCCTGGCCTGGCTGTGGCAGGTCTTGGACCAGGGACTGTTGCGCCCCACCCTCCGCTTGTCCCGGGCCCCCCCGGGGACAGTTGTCCCAGGGGCCCGTCCTTCCCTGCCCTGCCTGCCCTGCCCCCTGCTCCTGCTCTCCCTGCTCCCCTGCCCTGCCCTGCCCTGCCCTGCTCTGCCCTGCTGCCCTGTCCTGCCCCGCCCACTGCCCTGCTTGGCCTGATTTTGGGCCACCGCCAGACCAAGCCACAAACCTTGAAAAAAACCCTAAACCCGACAAAGGTCATAGACTGGGTGGGCGGGTAGGGCGAGAGCGTTGAACCTGGGCGCACACCACAACACACGTCTCGCGTGGTGGTGTGCGCGGAGCATCGACACACCCTAAACCCTAAACCCCTAAACGCCTAAACCCTAAACCCTAAACCCCTAAACCCCTAAACCCTAAACCCTAAACCCCTAAACCCTCAAGCCCCTAAACCCTAAACCCCTAAACCCCTAACCCCCTAAACAGTGGAGGTCCCCTACCTCGAGACACCCTTCGGAGTGCTTTTTTCCTCCAACTCCATCGCGAGGCCGAGCGTTTGATTTAGGGATTTGGGGTTTAGGGTTTAGGGTTTTAGGGTTTAGGGTTTAGGGTTTAGGGGTTTAGGGTTTAGGGTTCAGGGTTTTTAGAGTTTAAGATGTTGGTTGCTTTTGTGTTTTAGTTGTTTTGTGTGTGTGTGTGTGTGTGTGGGAGGGGGTGGGTGGGTGGGAGCGAGTCTTCCTTGTGGGGCTTTGGGCTTAGGATGTTTTGTTATCCAACTTGGGGAGTTTGCTGGGCTTGAATGTTGTGGAGGTTTAGATTTGGGGGCAAAGTCAGCCCTCTGAGGCTTGGAAGCCCGAGCCCGAATCTTAAAGAAGCAAAGAGCCCAGGTTTTGGGTTGTTGCAGAAACCGAAATGTCTGAGCCCTCCAAACCCTCAAGAAACTAAATCTTGAGCCCTCAACTTAAAGACCTGAAGCCGTCGACAGGCCAAAGCGCAAAACTTCCAACACCCAAAATCAGAAGCCGGAGCTATTGGTAGCTGAAGTGTGAGTGCTATCGAAAGCAGACCCTCGCCATAATCAGCCTTGAATCTCAAACTTCGTCTAGGGTCGAGGTATTTGTCTTTAGGATGCAGGGCTTACACTGAGCCCAAAACAGCAGGGCTTAGGATGGGTTCAGAGGGTTCAGCGAAGCCGTTGCAGATATGTGGCGAAAGCCAGAGAAGACTCGGCGCTGTATGGCGACAGCTGCTTGGTTGCAATAAATGTAATATAGGCGTCGTCAGTTTTTCAATATTCTGATATAATGATAACATGGAGAAACAGAAGGAAAGAGCAGCTTCTAGGTGCGTTCGACTCGAACGCATGACCTCATGAAAGAAAGAAAGACAACATAGAGCCCTGAGGAATGACATGGTAACTATTTGAGCATCTGCGTTACGGAAGGTTCCGAGGTCCCGGAGTTCTTCTCCTGGCTGCATGCTCTGCGCGTACTCATTGTTGCTAGCTGCACATATATATATATATATGCACACATACGCATCTATATCTATCTATATATATATATATACATATGCATCTCTCTCTACCTCTGTATATATATATATATACATGTATATATGTATACGGTGTACACGCACACTCCCAACAAGTACATACACTTAGCATCATCTTCGTCATCGTCTTTTAAGCTTGTGTTCCTCCTCCTCCTCCTCCTCCTCCTCCTCCTCCTCCTCCTTCTTAGCATCATCAGTAATGACCTGAGCTTCTTTCAGGGTTTAGGCTTTGCCGGTTTGGGGATCAGGGTCCACGGTTCGGGATTTTGGGTTGCGGCTGTGGGGGCCGCTTTACTTGGCGCCGGGTTGAGGGCTTACAGTTTGGGGTTTGGGGGTTAGGGGTTTGCAGGTTTCGGGCTCGTGGATGACGGAGATTGGCAGGGCTAGATCAGGTGTGGTTGGTGCATAGAGCGTTCCCTAGGAAAATGGATGGAGCTATGTTTTGTGGGCGACCTGCACTTCTGTTCAGGACCCCTAAATCAAACGCCCTGAAATACCCTAGTAACCAGGCTATCTATATCTATATATATATATATACATATACATATATACATATATATATATATATATATGGGCATCCCTCAGCCGGTGAGGTTTTGACGAGGAGGGGCAGATCGACACATGGATGGAGTTCGGCATGCACGATGTGCGGGCCTTTCCACCCTGATTCGATTTTCTTTGGGGTTCGGAGATAGGGCTTGGGATTTAGCTAGGATGCCCAGTAGTACCCTTATTCCTTTTTGTAGTCCTAGGTTCCTTATACAGTTACCCAATACCAAAAAGAGAGGCCTTTTTATTCTTAGGTTACTGGGTATCCTAGGTGTGGGTTAAGGGTCGCCGCCTTGTTGCTCAATATTTATCATTACCGTCGCGAGGATTCTTTTTCTCTTCTTGGACAACCGTTTTCATGGATCCCCGCCAAGTTACATTGGTTGTTCGGTTGTCCCTTCATGTACCCTACGCTCATGAGTACATGGTACGGTATAGCCAGAACATTATCCCTTCCTGCTGCTTCCCCTGCAGCTGCTGTTGCAAGGAGCACGCCGACGACGACCACAACAAAGACGACGACGACGACAGCGACGACAAGTACTACTACCACGGCTGCTGCTGCTAGTACTGCGCTGCTACTACTGCTAGGCCTGCGACTTCGACTGCGACTACTCTTACTTTTTCGCCTACTGCTCCTACTCTTCCTACTCCTCCTACTCTCCTACTCCTCTCCGCCTACTCCTCCTACTCCTCCTGCTCTTACTCCCACTCCTACTGTCACTCCTGACTTCAGAGCTTTGGGGATTAGGTACTTGTGCTTCGGATCTGGGTTTAGGGTATATGTGTTTCGGATGTAGTCTTCATGGTTTAGGGTTTAGAGTTTTATGGTGTGAACTCCCAAGATCTTCAGCTCTAAACTCATAAACCCCAGAAGCACTCCGTAGCGCTCTTCAGCACCCATTAGGAGCATCTTTGACTCGTCATAAATATACGGACCCCAATATTTACCAATACTGTTTTGGAGGTTCCTAATTCTCATTCTAGTATAGTATACCCCCAAAACCCTATTCTAATTATTGAGGCCCCTATGTACTTCCCTTACAGAAACTAGGTATGTGCCCGTACCGAAACCCCGAAACCCTACACCGTACACCCGGAATCCTGGATCCTTACCGGCTCGTCGGAGTCTTCAACCCATGCGGACGACAAGCGGCCATTAAAATGCAACCTTACTTACCGAAGCCCTACGAAAAATGCTGAGGTGGACCTTCTAAACCCAAAACCCTACGATCAAACGCTGAGGTGGAGATTCCCCTCTTCACCTGGGCCTACCCAGTGATGGGCCTCATGGAGGACTCGCCGAACGCCACGAAGGACGCGCAGGCCCAGCCTGCTCCCCTTCGACTCTTCCTTCACGGACCCAAAACCCCTAAAACCCTAAAACCCATACGCCCTAAACCCTGAACTAAACCCTAAACTAAACCCTCAAACCCTAAACTAGGCCATAAACCCTAAACCCTAAACCTCAAACCCTGCAGCCTACATTTCTGTCTCTTCGGGTTGAAGGCTCCGGGTCTGAGTGCGGACCTTGGGTCCCTTCTGAGAGCCCGTTTAGGGTTTAGGGTCTATGGGGGTTGGGGGTTAGGGTTTAGAGTTTAGGGTTTAGGGTTTAGGGTTTAGAGTTTAGGGTTTAGGGTTTAGAGTTTAGGGTTTAGGGTTTAGGGGTTTCGGGTTTAGGGCCGCCAGGGGTTAGGGGTTTAGGGTTTAGGGGTTAGGGTTCAGGGGAATAGGGTTTAGGGTCTAGGGTGTAGGGTTGAGGGCTGTAGCCCTACAGTTTCTAACTGTAGAAGAATGATGCCCAAAGCCCGAGCCACCCCCTGTGAATGCAATATAATTACGGCATACTTGCCCACCACGCACAGAAACCTCGTATGCTTAAAGCCACTTCGCCGAACCCTACGTAACTCGCACACCCCTGAACTTGAAACTCCGCACCAAAAAAACCAAAGAAACATCAACCCCAGCACGGGATCATACGGGATCCAAAACAAACCTTCAAACGCAACGCATCAAAACTCAATATCTGTCAGTGACTCGCCTCACACCCCACATACCTTAATCGCTAAGCTCTAAGTTGTTGCCTTTTAACCCTTCTTCCCCTCCATCTAGCCTTCAGCAACTCGCTAGGCGGATGTGAAGAAGGCCCTCCAAGTGACGTGGCCCCCGATGGAGGGCAGTCTAAGGTTTAGGGCTTAGGGCGTAAGGCTCAGGTTTTTTAGGCTTAGGGCTGGGGGTTAGTGGACCGGGTTTGGGGCTTAGGGATTTTGAAGTCTAGAGTTTATAGATAGTTTAGGGTTTAGAGCTTAAGGTTTGGAGGTTTGGAGTTTGGCGTGTAGGGTTCAGGGTGTTGTCGTTTGCAGTTTCGGTTTTTACAATCGAGGTTATGATAAGAGTTAGAAGCACGTTAATTGGGGCAGCCGAGTTAGAAGCTTACCCATTATCTACTTAAAGCGGGGTCCCTTTACGGCCTCCCGAGAAATGCCAAAGATCACATTGTCAAGGGCCTCAGTACCTCCGGTCAGCATCTAGGATGCTCAGTAGTACCCTTATTCCCTTTTTGTAGTCCTAGGTTCCTTATAAAGTTACCCAATACCAAAAAGAGAGGCCTTTTGATTCTTACGTTTCTGGGTATCCTAGCCATGAGTTTCATCGCTCATCTCTCCTGAATTCACGGATGCGGGAACTGCTGTCCCTGGTCTCTGCGGCCGGTGGCACCATCACTTTTAGAGAACCCCTTGTCTATGGTATGCTTTGGCTAGATCAGCAGGTCGCCGCCTGGCAATGCACTGTTGCAGCGAGTGGTTCTGTGAGGTTCGTGTGTTGTGTACGGACCTTCCCCTGGCCTCTGGGCCTTCGACGGGCAAGACGGATTGCTCGTGGAAAAAGGGGCTCAAAAAAAAAAAAACCTAAACCATGTCGGTGAGCTTGGAGGACCGGGAAGCGGCGGCGCGCGTGTGTGGGCTCGCAGGCGCTTAGAAGGGCAACTGAAGGTGCTCACTGGACCCGTGTCAAGGATGCGCGAAGGAAACTTGCACTCTTCCTTCTCATTCAAATCCTTCCTCGTAGTACTACTGGCACATGCCACTATGGGCTATTCGACCCTAAAGATCCCTATTAGGCCCCTTTTAAGGGTAGATTAAGGTACCCATAAGGTCTAATAGCCCATGGTGGCACAGGACTGCTGGTTGGAAGCCCCTACACCCGGAATGCGAGCACCTCAGAGAAAAAGCCTGCCCAGAGCCTCCGAAACCCCTTAATTAAGGAATATACCATAAATTACAATAGGATCCCTTATATGATTTAAGGTATATTCCTCAATTAAGTGGTTTTGGAGGCTCTGGGTGCTCAGCGTTGCAGCAGGCGGACATGCGGCAGAAGACTTGGCCAAGGATGCTGCAGAATCCTCTTGACTCAAAATGATGCTCTGCCGGCTCACGCCTCCGTTGCGGCCTGTGGTCACGGTCTCATCTCCAAGCAGTGGCTGTTCTGCTCCAATTCGGAGCTCATCTTGCCATTGGGCGTTTCCCCTGATCACGCTCGTGCTTCTCACCCTGCGATGGGAAATGCTTGCTATAGGGGCCTTGACAATTAGAATAGGGTTTTGGGTATGTTATACTATACTCATAGTACGAAACCCCCACAACAGTATGGGTAATCATGTAGGCACCCATGATATCCGACGGCTCCTTTGCCACTCGCCCCACAGCCCAATGCCCGGTCTGCCTCTCAACATGGCCGTGGAAACAGCTACACTCAGCCCTCGTCACCAAACCCTAACTCCAAGGGTAAAAGGTAAAAGGAGGGACCCTTAATAAGGACCCCTAGGTATAGACCCTTAATATAGCTAGTATATACCCATTATATAGCCCACTATAGGGTAGGGGTCCCCATTAAGGGTCCCTCCTTTTCCCCTTTGACTAACCCCTAATACACTCCCAGCCTCGCGAAGTCGCAGCAGTCCCTACCAAAAGTTGACTGGGACCCCCAAGCCGAGCTGCTCCCAGACCCCCAGGAGATCCCTTAATGGGGGTTCCTATAAAGTACCCTTAGTAGTATAGGGCCCCAAATTAGGGGATCTACTTTCTAGATCCTCCCAGGGGTCTGGGCTTAATCACCGTTGTTGTTTTGTCTGATTATCACTACTATTATTAATGTTCCTTCACTCTCATCTAGATAGTTTTTGTGATTATCATGAAGCCCCTGAGCCACAAACCCTACATCCAAAACCAGAAGCCCTCAGAGGTCCTCCTTATAATCCCTGCAAAAGTCCACCCTGAACCCTGAAGCTTAAGACCTAAGCACTAAACCATCAACCCCTAACCCCTAAACCCCCATAAACCCCTAAACCCTAAACCCCTAGAAGCCTAAGCCCCTAAACCCTAAACCCCTAAACCCTTACACCCCTAAACCCTAAACCCTCAAGTACTTACCAAGCCCCTTGATCCTCTAAGCACTGACCCAGGGTCCCATGCTTCAAGGTCTTTGGGACAAAGACCACGAGATGACTCTTTAGGGTTTAGGGTTTAGGGTTTAGGGTTTAGGGTTTAGGGGTTTAGGGTTTAGGGTTTAGGGTTTAGGGTTTAGGGTTTAGGACTTAAGGTTTTGGGTTTTGGGTTTAGGGTTTAGGGTTTATCCCACGGCCTGCGAAGCCCTACAGTAATCCCCAAGGTCCATGGACCCTCCCGCAACCCTAAACCTTAAACCTGCCAGCGAGCCCTCGACCCCCAATCCGAAAGCTTAAACCCCAAAGCCCTAAATGCCCGCAAACCCCTAAAACCTAAAATGCTTCAAAGACCCTAAGCCCACAAAAGCCCTAAATGCCCCTTAACCCCCAAACCCTAAAATGCTTGAAAGACGCTAAACCACCACAAAAAAAACCCTAAATATCCCTAAACCCCTAAACCCACAAAAAACCCTAAATGCCCTTAAAGCCCCAAACCCCAAATTCGAGCCTGAGGTCTTGGAAGAGAGCCTGAAGAAGTCTAGTTTCCTCGTGGGCACCAGCGTGACCCTCGCGGACATCTGCATAGTCCGGGGCCCAGGGGCCCCTATACCGGGGCCTTGGGGTTTAAGGGGTTTGAGAATTTTGCAACGGCTCTCATCACGGCTTCTTTTTCGGTGCTTAGTTTGGGGTTTGGGGCTTGGAGGTTAGGGCTCGCAGGTTTATACGGGCTCTTTAGGGTTTCCTGTAGGGCTTAGAGGCGTAGTGTTTAGAGTTGTGATTGTTTATGAAGGTTCTTATAGGTTTTCTTGAGGTTTTTGGGTTTAGGGTTTGGGGATTCATAGTTCGGGATTGTGGTGAAGGATTTGGGACTCGCACCTAGGGTTTAGGATTTTGGTGCAAGGTTTCTCAAGCCTAAACTCTCAAACCATGCGAATTTCGGACAATTAGGGGTACCTGTTTGGGGTCCTGAAATGAGGATCCTGCTATTCAGGGTATTATAGTAGGTCCCACATCTTCGGAAACTCCCACATTGAGCTCGCGCAACACTCCACCCGCTTTGCCGACTCACAAGTGGTAATACAGCGGCCTTAATAGTTTCCTCACTACAATTACCCTAAAAGATCCCTTATAGAAGCCTTTAGGGAAACCTTTAAAGGAACCCTATTCTAATTACAAGATGCCTGCTGATCCGAGAACAGGCTATGCAATTGGCCTGAGCTCCTGTGCGTATGCATGTTTTTTTGCATTGCAGATCATCATGTGCAGATCGACCCTGCCAGCTTATCAACCCGCGAAAAGCTCGCCCGGATCAGCAAAGTTAGAAGGCTGTTGAAACCTTAAGCCCTAGCCTAAGCCCTAAATCCTAAATCCTAAACCCAATACCCTATGCCTGCACGGGGCTACAAAGATGTCTGAGTTCCACAAGGCAGTGGACCCCAGTGTTGAATGCAAGGAGTAGTTCAGTTTGGCATGAGGCAGTTTAGGGACGCCCAAAAAGGGACCCGACATGTGAGAAACCCGTTATACAGTACCCAACAATGAGAATAGGGCTTCTAGATTCTAGCAAACTTTCGATGGGCTTTCATACATTCGGAGGCCTTAGTAGTTGGAGTCGGGTGTGGCTGTATATTATACAGCGACAAAAATGAGGCCCCATAAAGGAACCCTTATAGAGATCCTTTAAAGGATTGCTTAAAGGAGCGCTTATATTCAATTAGGGCTCCTTTAAGCAATCCTTTAAAGGATCTCTATAAGGGTTCGTTTATATAGATCCCATAGAAGCGGGGACTGGCACTGTTTGTTCCAAGCTCTATCACACCTCTGACCCCTCCCACAGCCCGCGAGAAGATCCGAAGACCCGTCTCTGCAGCCCAGGTCTGCGCGCTGAAAGAAGCCCGGCGGCACTTTGGATGGTTTTCGCGTTCCCTCATTGACCCATAAATGTGAAACGTACCGATTATGAGCAAATCGATTAACTTAACCCTGAACCCTTAAGCACTAAAGCCCTAAACCCCTAAGTCCCTAGGCCCTAGGCCACTATACCCTAAAACTGAAGCTTCCCAGACCTTAAAGAGCAGTCCAGGAAGGGTTCAAGTACGTCCTGGACCCGGCCACGACGAAGCCTTTCCCGAAGACTTGCGAGTGGCCCCCTGGACCAGATATATGCTCCTAAACCCCAAACCCTGAACCCAAAACCCTACACCCTAAACCCAAAACCCTACACCCTAAACCCTACACCCTACACCCTAAACCCTAAACCCTAAACCCAAAACCCTACACCCTAAACCCTAAACCCTAAACCCAAAACCCTACACCCTAAACCCTAAACCGATCATATATGCCTACTCAGAGGATCAGGGGTTTAGGGTTTGGTGTTAAAGGGTTTAAGGTTTCGGGTTTAGTGTTGAGGGGTTAGGGTTTCGGGGTTTAGGGGTTTCGGGTTTAGGGTTTCGGGTCTAGTGTTTAGGGGTTAGGGTTTCGGGAATACTGTTTAGGGGTTAGGGTTTCAGGTTTAGGGTTTAGACAGGAGACTTAGTAAGTGGGTTGTAGGCTAGAGGTAGGGTTGCAAGTTATAAGTTATAAGTAGGATCACCCGAAGCAGGGGTACTTATAGTCCACAGCTTTACGTATAACTTGCTTACGAACCCGGCTACTGAAAGTAGTTCGGCTGCCAGGATGTGGGGTTTAGCGGATTGAGGGCTTTGGGGTTTAAGGTTTTGGTTTTGAGTTTCGGGCCCTTAGGTTTAGCTGCCTGCCGCCCTCAACCTAAGCCTAAGCCCCCTTTGGAGGGCACCCCGTGAGGAGCTTAGAACCTTAGGAGGGGGCAAGCTCGTTAGCGTCCTTCGTCATGGCCTTTCACTGTTTGGACATCTACGCTTACATTCCAAAAATATAGGCCCGACCTTGATTCAGTCCTCTAACTGTAACCAAAAATGAAGCCTAAAGCATGAGCTGTATTCTCTCCCATGACCTAAACGCCAAAAAACTAAACTTCGGCATTTCACCTTTGAGAGCTCTTATAAGAACCCCTAGAGGAACCCGAGGCCTTTTTCAATTTTGATGGACTCGGCTCATCCCTTTGGATAAAGATTCTCTCTTTTGTTTGTTGACGTTTTGCACTTGACATGTGATGCGAAATGCGATGCGACTGAAGTTTGAAGCCAACTTTCCTTGCGAGTTTTGTTAAGAGTGCCTTTCAGGGCCTTTGGTTTGTAAAGCGCCAGGCACCGCAGCAGACAGCAGCAGCGACAGCAATATTGCGACAAGTATCAGTGGTACGAAGAGTACCTGTAGCATATGTCGTGACGGGTGAGAGACACTCTAAACTCTAAAGCTGCAAGCCCTAGGTAATGACGGTGATTGTTGGGCACCATGCAGCTCCATGCGTTTTGTAACTTGATGCCATTACTTCCATGTCCATGTGTAGATACAGGCAGAGGTGCACAAGTATACAAGTGTGGCCTAGATAATTTTACCTATAACCGTTTTGGGAGCTCCTCACTATACTTATACTCCAACTTAGTCCAAAACCCTATTCTAATTGTTAAGGTCCCCAACTTGCATGAGGCCACTATACAAACATCGGTCGTTCTCTTCCCAACCCTGCCTCCAACAGCCCATGAATTCCCTAAACCCCTAAACCCTAAACCCTAAACCCTAAACCCTAGACCAGCTGCTTCAAGTTGGCGCCCGAAAGCCCAACGAAGGAGCCTTCAGCACCCTAAACCCTAAGCCCAAAATCACCCAAAACCCTAAACCCTACACCCTAAACCCAAAACCCCCAAAACCCTACACCCTAAACCCCAAACCCCCAAAACCCTAAACCCTAAACCGAATCTTTGGCTTCAAAAAGGATACAGCAGCCTTCCGATCGCCATAACGAAGCCATGTGGGTGGTTGTCAAAATCAGGGTCCCTTTTTGGGTCCCTATTATAATACGGCACCTAAAATTTAATGTGCCCAGAAAGGGACCCTAATTTTGAAAACCACCCATGTGAATCCCCCACAAATCCCGTGCCTCCTCATTTCTTCAGTAAGCAGCTCTTGCTGAAGCTTATGGCTTCGGGATGATGTCCCTTTGTAGTCCCTCTACGATTCCACAAGAAAACAAACCCCAAAGCCTGTTGTATACTAAGTCCCTTATATTCAACCCCATGAACCCTAAACACCCTAAGCCCTACACCCTACACCCTAAACCCCTAAACCCTACCCCCTAAGCCCAAGTTACACTGAAAGCCCTAAACCCTAAACCCCTAAGCCCTAAACGCTAAACCCCTAAGCCCTACACCCTAAGCCCCAACGCCTAAACCCCTTAAGCCCTAAACCCTGGACCCTTCGCATCCCTGGCCCTTGAGGTTCGATCGCTGCTGCGCCATGCCCCAGTTTAAGTCGATCTTCGGTGAAGTGACGCTCGGCCCTTTAGGGTTTGGGGTTTAGGGTTTGGGGTTCAGGGTTCACGTTGCCTTTGAACGGGCCTAGGGTTCAGGGGGGTTCAGTTTTATTATGTGTAAAACTGTCTACATATGTAGTAACTCTGCAGTCATATTGCGCATACCGTATACCCCAAAACCCCGATAAAGTGGCTTTCTCAAGTGATCTTCGGTGGGGTTGCACATGTGTTTTACTAGTAGTGTTCCCTGAAGCCTTTACAGTCTTGCTCACTGGGCTTTAAGACATTTCCAATCGTAGGCCGCTACGTTGAGGGCTCCTTTCGGTTCTTGTTAAGGGTTTTAATTCAAGTGACCATGATAGGACTCTATAGCGAATAATATGGTTTTTACTATTGATACAAGTTAAACCCCTTAACAAGGACCCAGGTCTTTTGCATGGACGCTCCATTGGAGCTCTTCTGGGTGTCTTCCGGGGCTTCTTGAGATTTGTCCTAGCTTCGGTTAAATATGGGGCCTTAATAATTACCTATACGGGGGATTCCTTATTACAATTATAGTATGCTGGGCCCCAAAACCCTATTCTAATTGTTAAGGCCCCTGTAGTAGCGTTGGTACCCGGATTCCGGGTGGCGTTTGCGTGGGAGGTGGTCGAGGGATTCAAAGTCTCGCTTGAAAGCTTGGAACAGAAGTGGGGGTTGAGGGTTTAGGAAACCAGAAGCCCTGAACCCAAGAGCCTAAACCGTACACTCACAACCCTGCATCTTGTGTATAAGGACTTCTAAGCATTAGACCCTGGTTTCCCGTTACCGCCAAAATGGGCTCATTAGTTAGTTCAGGGTTTGGGTTGGGGGTGGGTTTGGGCGTAGGGGCTGTCGGGTTCCGGTGGTTTAGGGTTTGGGGTTTGGGTTGGGGGAGGGGGAGGGTTAGGGTTTAGGGGCTTCAGGTTTAGGGTTCGGGGAGCCCCAAAACCTTCACACTCGCAAGCTTTGCGCTTTACCTTAGGGGTACTTAGAAATAGTTTTTGATTATTATACTTCCTAAGAAACAGCCATAATCATAATTTTTGCTAGGGTTCCTAAGTTCAGTATAGTTACTCCCTGGGCCAGACTAGGAACGTTGCGGCCGGTCATAGGAGTCGTTGGGTCTGACCATCTTGCTTGATTCAGGTAGAGGTTTCTTTGGTTTTCTGGTGTCTCAGGAGGGCTTGAAGAGGGCTTATAGACGTTAATTACGAGGATCTCATAGCGTTTTTTCTGGGGTATCATCGGGGTTTTGGGGTTTGGGGGGTAGAGTGCAGCCTGGTTGGGCTCTTGGCTTTTTGGGTAAAGTTTTTGGGGGTTTAGGGTTACAGGGAGAAGAACAGAACGAACGAGAAATTTAGCACACCCCCGAAGAGGTCGACTGACAGAAGAGTTATAACTTGGGCTGCCAGATTTGTGGCATATACGTGACACACACACACACGTGGTACGCGCGCGCATATATTGATGTAAATATGGAATATACACAACCAAGCAAGTAAATACAAAAACTAAACCGTAGACCACGAACCCTAAACCCCCTAAACTGCTTCAAATCCTTTAAACCGCTTCCAACACCCCCGAAATCCTCAACCCCTAACCCTTCCCAGCCCCACCACTTGTATAACTCCCATAAAGCCCTTCAGCACGAGAAATGTCCTACAGCACCCCATGAAACCGTATGAGCCCCAGGAAGAAATGCCAGAAGAGCGGCTCTCCGACAAAAGTTCTCCCCAGCTTCGCGCCACCAGCGCGGGATGCTAAGGCCAGGACTTGCTCTGCTTGGAGGTTCATGCGTAGTTATAAGTGGGGTTATACGTCCCCTAACATGGATGAGACCTATAGTTGCCCTACTGAAAAAACCCCCATATAACTACCCATTAACCCCCAAGCGAATGGATGCGGCGCTTTGTAAGGGCTTGGCAAGGGTTTTATCTGGGGTTCTTGAAGTTTGCGCAGATTGTTGGATGTTTCTTGCGGGGCTTGATAAGGAATTTTGAAGGCTTGATAAGGGCGTTAAAGGGTTCCTTGAGGCCTTTAGAGGGTTCTAGAAGGGGCAATATCCGGATCTGTACGAATCTTTGTGGGTTCTTCGTGTAATTATGCATGTAGGTATGTATGTATGTATGTATGTATGTATGTGTGTAGGTAATCCGTATCTAGGTAGATAGATGGGCAGACAGATAGATACATGTAGATAGATGGATAGATAGGTAGGTAGGTAGAGATAGGACAGTAGATAGGCACACAGATAGATAGGTAGGCAGGCAGATAGACAGATAGAAAGATAGACAGATGGAAAGATAGAACGATAGAAAGATAGAAAGATAGATGGGTGGATAGACGGATGGATAGATTGATCGACCGAGGCCAGGTGCAAGCTTGACACGACTAAATCGATCGCCAGATAGGTCTACCTTTACCTACCAAAGGCTACTTTTTTTGAAGGTTCTTAGTATGCACCCTAGTATTGGAATTTATAGGAACCAAACAAAAAAGTAGGTTTTGATAGGTATAGCTAAAACAGCCAGAACTTGCCCTACACCCCGAGATGCTGAACAGTAAAGCTGACAGCCTTGACCCCACACCAAAAGCCCTCTATCAACCCTAAGCTCAGAATCTTAAATTACGAATCCTGAACCAGAAAGGGTATACACCATCACACTCAAATAAATGTGGTGTTAGGTATGGTCATAATCTCTAACCTACATGGTATCTTACTTCTTCATCAATCCCTGGGCCCCTTATCATTTTTCCATGGAGCTTTAAGGAACGCCTAAGAGAGCCCCATGAAGCCCCTTCCCACAAGTGATTGCTGCGACAATTTCTTGCTGTTTCCCCATAAATTCCATATTCGGGCTTATGCTAAGACCGGGTTTGGTAGGGTTAAGGTAGGTTTCGACACTAGAAAGCCCGATTAAACTCGCCGAGTGATGAAATAGACGTCTGCGCACCTCAACATAGCAAAAACCTCTTTTTTGTCGGTTCCCCATGAATTCCATATTCGGGTTTCTACCAAGAACCTTCAAAAACAGTAGGGTTTGGTAGGTTAAGGCTAGATTTGAGGAATCCACCCTTCAACTCCCTATGAAGTTATACTACGGTATACCCCAAGACCCACTCTAATTAATCAGGCCCCTTCCTGGACTCCCCTAGGGAATAAGGGTACTACTGGGCATCTTAGTTAAAGGGATCTAGAGTCGCGCTATAATAGGCGTCCTTTAAAGGGATCCCCTTATCTCAACCCCTCTGGATCCCTTTTGAAAGAAACCCCCATCTTGACCCAACCTCCGGAGGCGGCCAAGGCAGAACCGAAGGCGAAAAGCGAGCCAAAGGCCAAAGCTGAGCCAAAGGCTGCAGCGGAGCCGACGCCGGGCTGGGACGTAATGACGGCTTTAGGTTTAGGGTGTGGGGTTTGGAGTGTAGGGGTTTAAAGGTTCAGGGGTTTAGGGTTTAGGGGTTTAGGATTTCGGGTTTAGGGTTTCGGGTTTAGGGGGTATAGAGTGGGCTTGATATGGCTAGGCTGGTGTAATGCTTTTCAGTCCCACAAGCCCTATAAACCTTGAGCCCGAAGAAATCCCTGGGCCCTAAACCCTAATCCCCTACGGTAGACACTACACTGACCCCGACAATAACTCTGTTAGTAGCCCTTATTGAAGAAATCCCTCGATCACTCATGTCGGAACATGGCAGTTGCTGAGAGTACATGAGTGTGCGCCATTTGACTGCGATGTGAATGCCGCAAGACAAGGCTACGAAACAACAGTCTTGGGCCATGTGACATGTCGCAGTGTACAGATTTTAACTACGAGGCCTGTAAGTGCCACTAGTCTAATCTGACAGGTGCTGTAAGCACGTCTGCAGAGGACATCAACAGACAGTTTGTTGTGCGCGAAAACATTAAGAGTGACTGCCTGTGTAAGAGCTATCTGGCGGATACAGGAAAGCCCATTGCTTTTGGCTTTTTGAGGTTATGAGCGCCCAAGATGCTACCGCTGGGCAAGTGAATGGCGCAGCTCCAGCGGTGCCAAAGTTGGTGCCGATGGAGGAGCCTCCAAGAGGATCTGGTGAGGGTCCCAGAGAGCGAGCGCCTGCAGATGATACTATGGCAGCGGGGACTGTACCGTTGCCCGTTGCCAGTCACACGGACCAGATGAACGCAGAGGTGGGAAATGCTCAGCCTTCTGCGCGGCCGGAGCAGAGTGTGAACCCTACTGAAGAAGTGCATCAACAAGGTGCGGATGGTGGTATTGGTGGTGTTGCGGGGCTACAGACTGGCACGCAAATCGGTCCACAATGGGCCGCGAGTACAGTGACGCAGCCGCAGCCTACTGAAGAACAGCCGGGGCATCTGGATGCAGATTTTCAGCGTGATGATGTTGATGGTGGAGGTTTTCAGACTCCACGGTCACGACGATCAGCGGGACCAGCCTTTGGATCTGCGAGGAATTCTGGGGGCTTGGGCCCTGGATGGCCAGGCTGGGTGACCAGGCTTGGCGAGTTGTTCAAGCAGCCACCGATTCCACCGGAGTGGCTGCCGAGTCCGATTCCTTCGCCACCTCGACCTCCTGGAGCGCTTTTACATCGAAGGAACCTCTTTGTGGAAGAGCGCTCAGGTGGAACTCGCGGAGGATTGCTACGAGGACCAAGCAGCTCAGTAAGGCCGCCCACTCCGAGTAGTAGCAGTGTTCCAGCTGAGGCTATTCAAGCGGAAGTGCAAAGGCAATTGGGGTCTTTGCTGGAGCGACTAAGTGAAGTAGAAGGAGAAAATCAACGACTTCAGGGAGAACTTCAACATGAGAGGATGAGACATCGAGAAGATCCCCCTCCTCCTCGTGGATCTTTTGCAGCGCCAGGAAGTGATCCTGATCTCCGAAGGCCAGGTGTCGGTGTTGGAGTTCGGGATACTGGGGAAGAAGTTCAAGTACCTGTTCAAAGGAGTGATCCTTGGAGTTCGTTGTGGGAAGGGATCTCTGGAAAGCTGGGAGGGGCGCCTAAATCAGCTGCAGAAACCAAGCCGAGACAGCCAACGCCTCCTAGAACGACAGCAGAGACCACCTACCCAAGAGAGTCACGGGCTCTTCCAGAGCCCCCCTCGGCATCATCCTCGTCGGTGATTGAGGCACTGGCACAAAGCATGAAGCAGCTGCAGGATATTCAGCTACGAAACCTGCAAAGGACAGACGGTGATGATGAAGTTCCTGAGACAGTCAAAACTTCTATGATGAGTTTGCCAGAGCTTGCCGCGCCGGAGGGTGAGATGAGTGGTTTGAAGTTCCAAGACTGGATGGTGCAAGTTACAACGGCAATGCAAGACTTGTCTATCGGGAAAGTGGTGGGAGATCGTGAAGAAGGCGGTGACGGACTCTTATGCTACGTGGCTAGCCGCCACGCCTCTAGAACGACTTCAAGTGCAACCTCAAGGAGCTGTAGATATGGCAGCGGGGAAGTGGGTGAGAGTGAACGCCCGCGCTTGTGCGCTATTGATGCAGTCGTTAAGTGAGGTTGTGAAAGCAGACCTGATCGCCCGAAGAGCTTCCCAATCCACAGTCTTGCTCTTATTCAGGTTGTTTACGCTGTATCAACCAGGAGGAGCCGGGGAAAGAAGCAGTGTGCTGAAGCATCTTCAGTGTGAGGCCAGTCCAAAGGATGTGCATGAGAGTTTGAAGTTGTTGAGAAGTTGGCCGCGCTGGTTGCAGAGATGTAGGGATATGTCCATGGCGATCCCGGATGGCTCTATCCTTGCAAGAGGGCTGTCGAACATGGCAATGAAAGGTGTAGAAGAAAGCCCTGACGCTGTGTTCAGGACTCAGATGATGAGATCGTCGCTGCGTATCGACGCTAGGCCCAGCCTCGAGGACATCATGAAGTACCACCAGCACCTGCAAGCCGAGGTGGAGAACATTGTTGCATCGAGGCCGGTGTCTTCGGATGGGACGGTAGCTTTAAGGGCAATGACTACCACGGGGGGGTCCCCATCTCCTACAAGTTCGGGATCAGCTGTAGCAGCAAAGGGAGGAAAAGCACCCTGCAAATATTTTCTGAAGGCTGGAGGGTGTCGACGTGGAGCCAAGTGTCCCTTTGTACATTCCTTTGAAGGGATATCCAGACAAGAAAAATCCCGAAGATGTTTGACTTGTGGAGCAGAAGGACACCGACAAAAGGATTGCCCGACTAAGCAACCTCCCTCTCAACCACTACGAGGCAGTGAGACTTCCAGCACTACGTCGCCTAAAGCTACCCCAGGAGTCAACAAAGTTCATCTAGAGCCAGAAGGAGAAGTTTCCCCTGTAGCCGCAGCTGATGGAGTGCTTCATGGGCAATCTGTGCTTTCATGGGGGGCGCTTTTGCAGGCAGCAGCGAAAGTTGCGGCCGCCTCACCCGTTGAGCCGAAAGCCCCAACGATGAAAGTGCTATCGCTGAGCCCTCCCAGAGCAGAAGCAGTGGATGGATCGCATGTGTTCGCGCTTGTGGACTCAGGTGCAACGCATCCTCTTCGACGAGCAAGAACGGAGGAAGAATGGCGAGCAGGTGACAGGGTTACCGTGAACTTGGCAGGCGGAGAAACCGTTGAGCTCAGGATGAATGAAGCGGGAACATTGTTGGTCCCGTGTGCTGGAGCGCCAAGGTCCAGTTCTTCAGCCCCAATCGTTCCGTTGGGATCTCTGGTGGGGATGCTGGGCTATCGACTAGAATGGTCGGGGAGTCGGTGCATGCTGACTAGTCGAGAAGGTGACGTTCTTAAACTACGAGTTCGGGATGGTTGTCCAGAAATCACGGAGAGTCAGGCTCTGGACCTCATTGCCAAGATCGAAGAAAAGAAGTTGGCTTCGCTAAGGACGGCTACGGGCGAAACCAGAGCGAGAGTGAGAGAGGCAGCAATCTCGATGCAGAAAACATGGTTCGATCACCTGTTGTCGTACTGTGACAGTGGACTGGGCTCTGATGCTGTGAAGGCCATACGGGAAGCCCCGTTCTTTGAAGGTGTTCCACCAGAAGCGCTGTATGGACTTGCAGAGGCAGTTCCTTGCTCGAATGGTTGGGACGCATTGAAGGGACTGAAGCATCTTAACAGGCGGACGCGAAGGCGACTGTGGAGTTCCAATCAGTGGGTCTTGCACCTCTATGCAGGAAAGACCGTCAACCAGGAGATCCTTTTCCTAGAGCGCCAGGGCTTCACAGTGCTGGAGCTGGATTTGGAAAGAGGAAAGTCGCATGATGTTTGGGACCCGTTGGTTTGGAGGGCATTGGAGTGGGGTGCGCGGTCAGGAAAGATAGCTTCTATCATTGGAGGGCCTTCACAAGGCACGTTCATGTTGAAGCGATCAATGACCCCTGGACCAGAGGCACTTCGCAGCAATGATTTCGTATACGGCGGGTGGCCTGGACAATCGGAAAAGGACAAGAACTTGGTCAACCGTCACACGGGCATGTACGCTAAGATGTTGTACTTGCATTCTCTAGCCACGGCTGGAAGGTGCAAGTGGCCGGCTGAGCCAAGTGATGTGAAGGAAGTCGGTTTGATGATCGAGCAGCCGAGTGATCCTAGATCCTACCTCAACTACAACCATCCCCTGGCTCAGGATTCTGTGAGTTTTTGGAGGACACCTATGTGGGAGGTCTATGCGGAAGAGGCGGGGCTGGCTACGTATTCGTTTGACATGTCTTCCTTGGGAAAGGCGCTGGAGAGGCACACCACTATAGGTACCAATCTTCCGCTTCGCCATTTAGATGGACTAAAAGGTCGAGTTCAGGATGATCCCTTTCCCCCAGAAAGGGCTTCACCGTCAGTTTGGTCAAGGGAGTTCTCAGAGGTCGTAGCTATTGCAGTGAGGTCCCAGCGGTTGGCGCCACGGATGCTGAGAATGTCAACGGAGCAATGGAAAGAGCACGTGAGAAAGGGTCATCTACCTTATCGAGCAGATTGTACAACATGCGTGACGGCAGGGGCCACAGGTAGACGGCATGCTCGTGTAGAACATCCCAGTTGCTTCGTGATGTCAGCAGATGTTAGTGGTCCACTTAAAGTCCCCGGGATTGATGCAGATGCACGTGGAGCTTTTCCCAGGCCACACAAGTATATGTTCATTGCCAAAGTTCGAATACCCAAAACGTTCGTGGACGATGGACGTGGAGTTGGTTTGGACTACGACCCTGGCGAAATTCAAGAGGACCTCCCACCAGGTGAAGACGCTTTTGATTATGAAGGTCCCTCAGAACGTGAAGGGGCTCCTCCCCCAGATGGTGACGGTGAAGGAATCCAGGAGGAGGATGTTGAGGAGTCAGATGAGCCTGGTGAAGGAAGGAAGCGTCGAGGAGATGATGATGTGGATGTAGCAGCACCAGAGCTCGTCAACCTGATTTTCGCTTCGGGACTGCAGGACAATAAAGGATCCACGGTGTTGGAAGCAGTACAAGATGTTGTTTTGTATTGTGCCGCGCTCAACATCCCGATTGTGAGATTTCATTGTGATCGTGGAATGGAATTCTATGCCAAGTCCACTAGGCAATGGATAAAGAATCAGGGAATCCGGTTCACTACTAGCGAAGGTGGACTACATCAACAAAATGGTGCGGTCGAGAATGCGGTGAAGTATGTGAAGCAGAGGGCGAGGACCCTCCTGATAGGAGCAAAGCTGCCGCAGAAGCTTTGGCCACAAGCTGTGGCAATGGCTACAGCTTCTCAGCGCGCTACGGTGCTGGGCATGGAAACCAAGCTTGTGGCTCCGTTCGGGACGAAGGTTTTGGTTCGACGACGAGAATATGGTGGAAGCGCGGAGCCTGGGAAGCCTGATGATTTGAGTCCGCGGTGGATAGAAGGCTCCTATGTGGGGTTGTCTGATACTCTCCGCCGAGGCCATGTTGTGTATGTGTCCAATGAAGATGGGGAGAAGTTCATACACACAGTGCATGTTCGGGCTCATGTGGTGGATCCTGGTCTACCTGAAGGTGAAGTGGAAGCTGATCTACCGGGACCTCCGAGCAAAAGGGTTTTAGAAAAGGCTCGTGGCAGTGGGGATGTGGTCTCAATTTCCAAATCCAATCCGGTGTTCGGAGATGAAAACCTTAAGAACGAGATCAACCGGGTGTTGGAACACTGGGATGAGGAGGAGGCGCACAACCTGGCCGTTCAAGTAGCCTTGAGCCTAGGTGAAGGAGACCGAAAGTTTGGGGTGTTTCGTCATGGAGGCTCTGTTGGACTTACAAAGGTAACGTATGACAAGCCGTGGGGAGCGGAACTGTTGGTGAGATTGATGCGAGAAAGGAGTCCGGAGGCAGAGTTTTCGGCATTGTACGTGTCAGTCAACACCACCAAGGAAGTCCACATCGATGTCAACAACCTTGTCGGGAAGAACAATTTTGTATATCCTTTGGTGTTGCCCCGTCGAGGAGGAGATCTGTGGATTGAGCTTGGAGACGGCGACGTGGTACGAGGCAAGGTGATTGAGATGATCGATCATAAAGGGTCTCCTCGCTATGGGTGTGTTCAGCCGCTGACGGAGAGGAAGCCTTTTGCCTTTAACCCACACCGAAGGCATGCAGTGATACCTTGGAAAGGATTGCGAGTTGTGCTGATTGGCTACACTCCAGGAGTTCCGCAAAACCTCAAGGGTCCTGAACGGCAAGTCTTAGCTGCATTGGGGTTCCCAGTCCCAGCCGATCTATACGATCAAGAGCCTACAGTTGCTGTGAGAGTTTTGTCAGCGACCAAGATTGACAAAGAGAAGGTGATAGAGTCTGAGGAGGAGAATGGTGAGAGCAGTGGCAATTTAGAAGAAATCCCTACTTCTAGTGGGGAACCGCTGTTTGTCCCAGGATCAAATCTACCTCCTGGCCTTCCACAAGGTGATGATGGTGGACCGCAACAAGTCGAGCAGGAGGAGTGGAGCTTGTGGGATATGTTCATTCCTCTAGGAGATGGTGATCCGGAAAGCGTTCCCAAGGCGATGATTGCGTCGTGTGATGGGCATCCTCAGCTGTGTAAGAATGAAGTTGTGTACACCAAGAACATAGAGTCGCTGTTGAGCTCACTTACGGGGCCGTTGGACATCGTGCATACAGTAGACCCAGCAGAGGCACTGGAATGTATTGAGCACTGGTTGCCAGCAATAGGCAAAGAAATGGGTTCGTTTGAGCCAGCAGTGTTGAAAAGGAAGATGTCAGACCCTGCAGTTCAGAAGGACTTGCGAACTGGAGCTGCTCGATTGGTGCCGATGAAGATCGTGTATACAGCAAAACCCCCTACTGAGGTAGAGATCGAGAGCCAGGAGTGGTTTCGGCGGAAGGCTAGAATTGTTGCTTGTGGCAATATGATGCAAGAGAGTGGACAAGAAACCTTTGCGCCTACTGCCCCTGCTGAAGTTGTCAGGAGCTCACTAGCTATATCCAGCCAAGAAGGCTGGGACGCAGCTATCCTGGACATCACGAGCGCATTCCTTCTGACTCCAATCAGTGCCGAAAGATGTGGCTACAGAGTCATAGGGCAGCCACCCCGGGCTCTCGTCCGGGCCGGGCTATGTGAGCCCGATGAACTTTGGGAATTCACGAGAGCAGTCTACGGACTAAGAGAATCGCCTAAGTGGTGGGGCGATTACAGAGATGAACAAGTTGCTCGTTTAGTCATTGAGCTTGATGGACAGCGCATTGAACTGATGAGGTGTCGTGTTGAAGCCAGCTGGTGGAAAGTTGTTCAGGGAGCAACCTTAATAGGGCTGTTGGTGATCTATGTCGACGATATCCTCATATGCGCGCTACCTCCAGTCATCAAGGCTGTGGCGAAGGCAATACAGGCATTGTGGCGTACAAGCGCACTGGAATTTGCCTCAGAAGGTCGCATCAGATTCTTGGGAATTGAAATCGAGAAGATACCTGATGGGTTTGCGTTAAGCCAGCAGTCTTATATTGCCGAGCTCGTCAGGACCCATGGAGTGAAAGAAACCCAAAGGGATTTGATTCCCGTGAGCCGCGACCTTGCAAGGTTTGAGTCAAGTCCAGATGAGGCAGTGTTTTCTACCGAAGACCTCAGGGAAGCTCAGCGCTATGCGGGAGAGATTTTGTGGATGGCCCAGAGAACTCGTCCGGATATATCTTATACAGCATCCCTGGTCGCTTCCCTAAGTTCGAGAGCACCCCGGAGGGCATCGATGATCACTAGAAAGGCTATTGGGTTTTTGCAAAGAACTGCAGAGTATCAGCTTGTGATCCAGTCAGAGGGGAGTCAGTTAACTTCGTGGAGTGATGCGAGTTATGCCCCAGAAGGAACGAGATCCCACACCGGGATTTTGATCGAGCTGGGGTCAGCACCTCTGGCATGGAAATCGTCAAGGCAATCGCTAGTAACGCTGTCTACAGCTGAGGCGGAGCTGGTGTCGGTTACCGAGGGCGCACTAATCATGACGAACATTGCTGCGATGATAGAAGAGCTTGGATGGAAGAAGTTGATCAAGCTTCTGAAGACTGATTCTACAGCGGCGTTGGCAATTCAGAAAGGGAGTGGATCACAGCGAACCAGACATTTGAGGATTCGCTCCAGTTGGGTTGCTGAAAGGATCGACGAAGGCGACTTTGAAGCTGAGCATTGTGCTGGAGAAGGTCAGCTAGCGGACGCGCTAACGAAGCCTTTGTCGTCTTCAAGACTGGCACAGTTGTCAAAGTTGATTGGGCTATGGAATCGAGAGGAGCTTCGAGGCTATGTTGCTCAATCCGCTGCAAGTTGCTCGACAAGACCTGGGACTCCAAGTGTGTTAATTGCATTGCTGGTTTTGTCTCAAGCAGTTGGACAAGCAGAGGGTTTTGAGCTAGTACCTCATGAGCCGTTGGCTGTTGATCATGGGATGCTCGCATGGGCTGTGTTTGGTGTCATTCTTCTGTCGTGGATTGGAGCCTGGGAATTACTGAAGTATGCTGGTTGGCATGTGTACTATGGCGCTGTTCCTGGAGCAACAGAACGGAGAATGAGGAGATTGCAGAGGATCAGAGACACAACAGCTAGGGCTATACGTGATGAGCTGGATTCCAGAAGAGCAGCCCGTGAATTTGAGCGACAACGACCAGTTGAAATCAGGCGAGCTCAGGACTTGTCCAGAGCAGAAAGTTCAGCAGGTCATGGAGATCGAGCTGAAACTTCCGGGCGAGTACCAAGCACTCCGCTTGGGGGCCGCAGTGTTTACCGAGCAGATCAGAGAGACAGGTCAACGCAGACAACCGGGCCTGCATTTGCTCTTGTAGTGCCAGAAGTCCGCACTGAGGTGCGTACAGAGGTGCGAGTGCCGGAGCAAGTCCATATAGTTCCCGGAAACCCTTGTTTTCATGTTTACAATCCCTGCCATGCTTTTCGTCATCGCGGAACACAAGACAGAGTACAGACTTTGAGGATTTGTGAATACTGCGTGAGACATCAAGGAAGGGACCCCAAAGGTCCGAGAGAAGGCGGAATCGATGAGATTCTGCGAAGAGGCGGAAGGCCACTCTACGATCGTCCTGGTGAAGAGTGGTGAATGCAATCGTGCACTGTCGGCACGCTTGAGGAGGAGTGAAGAAATCCCTCGATCACTCATGTCGGAACATGGCAGTTGCTGAGAGTACATGAGTGTGCGCCATTTGACTGCGATGTGAATGCCGCAAGACAAGGCTACGAAACAACAGTCTTGGGCCATGTGACATGTCGCAGTGTACAGATTTTAACTACGAGGCCTGTAAGTGCCACTAGTCTAATCTGACAGGTGCTGTAAGCACGTCTGCAGAGGACATCAACAGACAGTTTGTTGTGCGCGAAAACATTAAGAGTGACTGCCTGATTGCCATGCGCGTTCTGTAAGAGCTATCTGGCGGATACAGGAAAGGCCATTGCTTTTGGCTTTTTGACTTATAGTATCTATCCCGTATAGTGACCGTATCTGCGTAGAAACCTTTATAGCGACGCCTAAACCCTTAAACCCTAACCCCTAAACCCTAAACCCCAAAACCCTAAACCCCTAAACCCTGTTGGAGGGCTTAAGCTCCATGATTCGCGCTTGTTTGCCTTTGGAGGCTGTGACCCCCCGACAAAAAAAGCAAGATGCCTTTAAACAAGCCATAAAAAAAGTTTGAAAGGTTCCTATCGAGGGTTCCTGTAAACGGGATTTGTAGGGGTTTAGGGTTTAGGGTTTCTGTTAGGGTATGGGGTTTCGGGTGTAAGGGTTCAGGATCTGTGGGCTTGAGGGTTGTAGGGCCATGGTTAAGGGTTTAGAGTTGGGTTTTAGGGTTTGCGTTTAGTAACAGTGTAGTACGACGGTTCAGGGTTTTGGGCGCATAAGGGTTTAGGGTTTACTAGGGTTTCGATTTAGCATCAGCGTGTTTAGAAGCAGTGTAGTACGAAGGTTTAGGGTTTTGGGCATAAGGGTTTAGGGTTTCGGGTTAGCGTTTGTGGAGAAACGTTAGGCCCAAAGTATCAAGTCATAGCACCACCGCTGATGAACTAAAGCTTCAAGCCCGCCATGCCCTGAACCCTGAACCCCTCAACCCTCCCAAAACCCAAAACCCTAAACCCTAAACTGAAAAAGGGATTGAAGAGAAGGCCCCAGCGCCCTGAAGAACCGGGCATATCACTTGGACCCAAACCCGAACGAAGAACTGGCTTTATCACACTTCTCCTAACACTCCTGGCTTGGGCTTTTGGGCTTTAGGACTGTCGGTTTTTGGGGTTCGGGGGCTTGAGATTTCGGGCTTTCTTTCCTCCCCAAATCCTAAACCCGAATCACTAGACCCTAATCCCTGAACCCTGAACCCGAAGCCTAAACCCTCAAACCCCAACCCCATAAACCCCGCAACGCATCCCAGGAAAGGCAAGGCCGAGAAGGCAGAGAAGAAGGAAAAAGCAGAGCCCGGGTTCTGGATTAGCATGCTTTGTTCCTTGTTTTTGGACGTTTTCCTTCTCCTAGGACCTCTAGAGTAGGCCCTTATTCCCTTTTTTAGAGTTCAGGTTCCCTTATGAGCCCCTATAAAACCAAAAAGGGCACCCTTTTTATTCCTAGGTTACCCTTGGGTCTAGTCTAGGAACCTCAAACTCTAAGCCCCAAACCCAAAGCCTGACATGCAAACCCAAAGCCTTCAACCCACCTTAGAGGCACCCTCCAAGGAACCCTTTGAAGGAACCCCTGCGGGATCTCTTAAAGGAACCCCTAAACCCGAAACCCTGAACCCTAAATCCTAAAGGACCCCTAATGAACTCAGAGTTGGTGCGGTTCTCTTCCGCTTCAAATCCAAGGAGCCCAAGGCAAAGTCGGAGCCAAAAGCCAAGGCTGAGCCGAAGAAGGACTTCGAGGGTTCCTTCGAAGGGATCCTTTGAAGTGTTCCTCTAAGGGGGTTCAGGGTTCCTTTAAGGGTTCCTTTAAGGGGGCTTCATTCAAGGGTTCGTTTAATCCTTTCAGGGTTAAGGGTTTAGGACTTAGGTCCTAATTATTAGGACTTCAAGGGTTTCTTTAAGGAAGTCTTTTAGAAGGGTTCCTTGAAAGGGTTCCTTCAAGGGTTCCTTGATCCCTAAAGGGCTCCTCTGAAGGGATCCTCTAAAGGGATCCTTTTAAGGGCTCCTCTAAAGGGCTCCTTTAAAGGGCTCCCCTTTAAAGGAACCCCCAAACCCACCCCTGAAACCCTAAAGGCAAGGAGCCCTGATCTGAAGCCGAGGGTACCACTGAAAAAAGCTCTGCAGTCTCTCCATCATTCTGGGGGCTCCTTATCTAGGGTTTAGGGTTTTAGGGTTTAGGGTTTTAGGGGTTTAGGGGTTTAGGGTTTATAGGGTTTAATTAGGGATCCTCCAAGAGTCTAGATAGGGCCTTCTAGGATGCCCAGTAGTACCCTTATTCCCTTTTTTGTAGTCCTAGGTTCCTTATAAAGTTACCCAATACCAAAAAGAGAGGCCTTTTTATTCTTAGGTTACTGGGTATCCTAGTATATTCTGGTACCCTTATAGATCCCTTATAGTAGCCTTTCTAAAGGACCCCTTTAAAGGAACCCTAGTAGCCTTTTTATTCTTAGGTTACTGGGTATCCTAGTCAGTACAACATGATAGTAAACCCTTAACCCTTAAAGGAGTCAAGAAACCCTGGATAGTGACCCTTTAAAGGATCCCTTCGAAGGAACCCTAGACCCCCTTAGAGGATACCTTTATGGAATTATAGTATAATGGGCCCCAAAACCCTATTCTAATTGTCAAGGCCCCTATATTCTAGAACCCTAGTATAGATCCCTTTAAAGGAACCCTTATATAGACCCCTTTAAGGGAACCCCTATTCTAATTGTTAAGGCAGATAAAACCCGCAAGGAGGCCGCTCCGGCAGCGCCTGCGGCAGGTCACGGGCGTTTTTTTTAAAGCAGGTCTAGGGTTTAGGGTTTAGGGTTGAGGGTTTAAGGTTTAGGGTTTAGGGTTTAGGGTTGAGGGGTTAAGGTTTGTTAGGGTTTAGGGTTTCCCTTGGTTCCAGAAAAGGGGGTTACCACAAGGGTTCCTGGGTTCCGGACTAGTACCCTTCTGACGAAACCCGAATAGTAGGAAGAATGGTACCCTTATGATAAAGGGGCTACTCGGGAACCTAGGTTCCCAAAAGTGGGGATTCCAAGCATAAACCCTAAACCCTTAACCCTAAACCCTAAACCCGAAACCCAAAGTTCCCTAAGGGCGCTTAAGCGCCGGGTTTAGGGTTCAGGCTTCTTAAGGGCTTGGCAAGGCCTCCTTCAGTCTTGCTTAGGCCCTCTTTGAGGCCCCCTTTTGATGTATAGGGGCTCTCATGATAAGCACCATTTTGCATTGAAGGAGACCTGAAATAGGGCTACTATTGGGCTCCACATCGGTTCTTTCAGGTTCACGGGTTTAGAGTTTGAGGCATTTGCATTTATTTGCTCGATGAAGTCACATCTATGTATACATGTATCTGTACATGTGCGCATATGGATACCGTGTATATGTGTATATACTATGTGTAGTTACATATACATCTTAGAAACACGCAAACATACGTACATACATACATACATACAAACATACATATGTTGATAACTGGTCTTTTTCGAATCTTGTCGTAGCTTCGACAAGAGCTCGGTTCTCCACGCACGGGGGTCAGCAGGAGACTGCAAGCGGGCAGTAAGGTTTCTGTAAGGCTCCTAGTTCAGGCAGGGTACTACATAGCTTTTTGCGTTTGGGGCTTAGCGGTTTTGACCCAAGACACAAAGCCCCAGACCCAAGCTCTCAACAATGGAACTCCATGCCCCTGAACTACATCCCTTCAAGGAACCCACTTAAAGAAGAAGCCCTCCATGGCCGTAACAGAACTCTCAGAGGAACCCGTAAAGGAGCCCTCAAAGGAACCCTCAAAGGGAATTCTGAAGGAACCCGCAAAGGAATCCTTAGAGGAACCCTTCAAGGAACCCTTAAAGGCATACTTGTCCTTAGAGGAACCCTTAAAGGGATACTTGTCCCTAGAGGAACCCTTCAAGGAACCCTCAAAGAAGCCTGGGGGCCCTAAACCCTAAACCCTAAACCCTTAAAAAAAAACCCTAAACGCTAAAGAAGCCTGGGGGCCGGAGGTGCGATGGCCAACGGTGGAGGCGATGTGGAGCAGCAGATCCTCGCCGTGGGCGCCTGGGCCAAACTTTGGGGTCTTCTTCGGGTTTCGGGTTCTTTAGGGTTCAGGGTTTAGGGTTTAGGGTTTCGGGTTTAGGGTTTAGGGTTCAGGGTTTAGGGTTCAGGGTTTAGGGTTTAGGGTTTATAAGGTTTAGGGTTTAGGGCTTAGGGTTTGGGGTTTCGCATGTCCTTAAAATCACCTTCCATCTACCTTTATGCCACCTTGCGTTTAAAATCCATTCTTTTTTACCGTGTCCAACTGCTTTACCCTCCCAAGTTCAGGGCCTGGAAGTTGTCCAAGAGTTGGCCCTCGATAGTCAGAACAGGGTCCCGTTCAAGGGCTCTTTTATAAGGAGCCCTAAACCCTAAAGGGAGGGGGGCCGGGAATGCCAGACGCCTGACCATGTAAAGACGCTACCCCTTATCACACCCGTCTATACCCGAGCTCCGAGTGCAACACGTTCGCGCCTAGTTCATGCCCCAAGCCAACCACAAGACCCCAAGCCCTCAACCCCCAAACCTCTGAGCCCAAACTTAAAACCAAATGTCTTACACCCCAAGCCCCGCCCCCCCAGCCCTATGCTCAAAACGATGTGTTTATGTACGCAAAAGCTCTCATTCACTCATCACCTTCCGCCTGCAGTCATGAGCTTTCATGCAGTATGCCGCCATTAGCCCTTAAAGACTGTCGCTGTTTCAAGACTTAAGGTGTCTAGTGTTTCGGGGGAAGAGGATGGTCTGTACGTTGTCGGGCTTACGTGGTGTACGTTCCTCATACGGTTCAGCAGAACCCCATCGAGCCCTTGTAACTTTAAGCTCTAAGCCCTCCACCTTACACCCTAAAACCCCTAAGCCCTACCCAAGCAGAAACTAAACCCTAAAGCCCCACGCCCTCTTTGGAAACTTCATTCTGGCCAGAGCTCTTCAGGACATTCTCTTCCCTTCTGTCAGAGTCAATGAGCATCATAAACCTCACATGCCATACAAACTCTCTAAAACCTGTTCTGTTCAGCAAGGCCTCTGGATGACGATCCAAGGCAGCGAGACTCAGCCCTAAACCCTCAAACAAAAGCGCCCTAAGGCCTCATAGGTCCCCTATTTAAAGCAACCCTGAGATGCCCTGAACCCTAAAACCTTAAAAGGAATCCCCTTAAAGGAATCCTTTATGTAAAGATCCCTTTTTAAACTCTTTACAGATCCCTTTAAAGGAACCCTAAACCCTAAACCTTCAATCCTAAACCCTAAATCCTAGAACCTAACCCCTTAGATCTTAAAAAGGCAACGAGATCCGCGAGAAGAAGGCCGCGCTGAAAGCCAGCGGCCTCTCCGGGAAGAAGATCAACGAAGACCCCGAGGCTGATGGGGTTCCTTTTAGCCTTAAAGGGACTCCATAGGGTTTAAGGCCTCCTTTATAAAGGGACTCCATAGGGTTTAGGGTTCTTTTAAAGGGTTTCTAAGAGCGCCTTGACCTTTCAGGTTTTAGGGGTTTATAATGAACCCCAGAAAGTTGGAACATGGATTTAGGAGGATCCGTGCTAGGATTCCCTATACTTTGCTTTAAGAGCATGAGGCTAATGATGTTCCAACTTTCTGGCTTCTACTGTAAAGGGATCCTTTAAAGGGTACTGTAGGGTTCCTGCAAAAACGGCTCTTTAAAGGGTGGCTTTCAAGAGGATCTAAGGGTTTCGGGTTTAGGAGTGTAGTTTTCGTCCTTGCCCCTGCCATCCTCAGCGCCTTCGCCCTCGGCTTCGCTTGAGTCTGCAGCAAGCCAGGAGATGATGCCAATGCCCACGCCATCCTTTGCGCCTGTGCCCTCGCCTTCGGCCGACACAAGGCAGGACCTGCACGACGAGTACGAAGACTTCAGCGCCAAGGTCGAGACACTGCTGAATCCTCTGAAAGCACTGTATGGGAGAGTGGCGGCTTACGAATTCTTGTCCAAAGCAAACCATTCCGCCCGCTTGGTGTCCTCATCTGCTATGCCACTGAGCGCCATAGCCAACGACAGGAGGCTGTAGGCACAACACTTTGGCAGAGGAACCTGCCTCGTCTTGTAGCGGTCAATGACCGCAAACGCTCGGGTTTAGGGCTTAGGAGCTTAGGGTTAAGGGTTCAAGGGTTTAGGATTCAGGGCTCCTTTCAAAGGGATCTTAAAGGGATCCAAAGAAGGGGGGCCTTTAAAGGGACCCTTTGAAGGGTACTATATCGTTACTGCCAGGGGATCTTGAAAGGTGTAGGGTTTGGGGTTTAGTTGGGGGTTTAGGGTTTAGTAGGGTTTAGGGTTTGAGGTTCCTCCGTCTAACTTTAAGGGGGTTCCTTTAAAGGGATCTTTAAAGATTCCTGTAAGGGGGTTCCCAAACAGGGATCTTGAAAGTGACCCTAAGAGTTCCTTTTAAAGGGGGTTCCCTTCAGGCTTTGAGGGTTTAGGGCTTTTTCAGGATTGCTTTACATGGATCTTCAAAGGTTCGTTTTGAGGGGGTTCCTTCAGGGCTTTTAGGGTATAGGGCTTTTCAGGGTTGCTTCACATGGATCTTCGAAGGTTCGTTTTGAGGGAGTTCCTTCAGGGCCTTTTAGGGTTTAGGGTTGCTTCACATGGGTCTTCGAAGGTTCGTTTTGAGGGAGTTCCCTGAGGGCTTTTACGGTTCAGGGCTTTTCAGGGTTGCTTTAAATGGATCTTGACTGGTTTCTTTAAGGAGGTTCCCCTCAGGGCTTTTGGTGTTTCGGACTTTTCCGGGTCTTGCAAGGTTCCTTTGACGGATCCTGTGCTGATGCTTTAAGTTCAGTTGATAGGATCTCTTAAAGGAACCCTCACGGGATCCCTGATATCGGGGCTTTAACATGTTGCTTTGAAGCATCTCTTCGGGGTCCTTAAAGGGGGTTCCTTTTGTGGTGCCTTTGGAGTGTTTAGGGTTTTAGGCCTTTCGGGCGGTAACCGCCCAGCACCCAGAAATCCCAGACCCTAATCCCAAAACCCTCAACCCCAAACCCTAATCCCGGGATCCCCTCACACTTCAAGGAACCCGAAGAGGAATCCCAGGAAGGAGCCCTCCGCTCCACGCCCCAAACCCCAAACCCCAAACCCTTAAACCCTTAAACCCTTAAACCCTGTGCCTATGCCGTCAAACTATACCGTAAACGTTTAAAGCCTCAACCTACACCGTAAGTCCTTAAAGGAACTCGAGATGAGGGTTAAGATCTTATCGGAATCCCAAACTCCACCCTTCACAAGCGGGACAGGTCAAGATGATTAACCCTGAACTCCCATAGAGCCCTTATAGATTCCTTCAAGATCGCTTTACGTAAGGAGCCCTTCCTCAACCCTAAACCCCCAAGCCTAGACCCATAGCCCTCAAACCATCATCAAACGTTGCCCTAAACCCTAAACACATAAGGAGCCCTTCAAAAAGAACCCTTAAGCTTAAACCCTTATATAACCCTAGGCCGTTTTAAAAGAGCCCTTCAAGAGATCCTTGTGCAAGAGCCCTTGAAAGAGCCCTCTACGGAGCCTTCTGAGGAGCCCCGGAAAACCTAAACCCCCAAACCCCGGAACCCTAAACCCCTAAACCCTTGACAAAAACCCTACACTCCTAAAGCCCTAAGCCCCTATAGTGAACCCCAGAAAGTTGGGACATAGATTCAGGATGATTCATGCTGGGATTCCCTGTAGTTTACTTTAAGAGCACGGGGCCAATACTATTCCAACTTTCTGGCTTCTACTGTAAGAGTGGTATAATAGGAATATAGTAGGACTCTAATATAACCCTTATAGTCACTGTTACAGGGTGGGGGGGCCTTCTAACCTACACTCCTAAAGCTCTAAACCCCCAAACCTGAAAGGTCAAGGCGCAAGTTGGAACATGATTAGCCTCATGCCCTTAAAGCAAAGTATAGGGAATCCTAGCACTGATCCTCCTAAAAGCCATGTTCCAACTTTCTGGGGTTCATTGTAAACCCCTAAACCCTGAAAGGTCAAGGCGCTCTTAGAACCCCTTTAAAGGAAGCCTAAACTTTATGGAGCCCCTTTAAAGAAGGCCCAAACCCTAACAAAAATCCTAAACCCCCAAACCCCTCTTAGAACCCTAACCCTAAACCCTAGACAAAAACCCTACATTCCTAAACTCCTAATCTTCAAACCCCGAAAGATCAAGGCGCTCTTAGAACCCCTATGGATCCCTATAAGTATAGTTACCTTCTTAATAAGTCTACTTACTAAGTCCCAAAATTTCCTAAACCTGAAAGGTCCTAAATCCCTTAAACCTCTAAACTTCCCAAACCCTGAAAGGTCAAGGCGCTCTAAGAACCCTAAACTCTCCATCCCTTTAACAGGAACCCTAAACCCTATACTCTAAACCCCTGGACTCTAAGAACCCTTATGGATCCCTTTAAAGGAACCCTAAACTACTTATAACCTACTTTCTGGGGTTCACTATAACCCCTAAACTCTAAGAGAGGTCAAGGCGCTCGTGGAGCGCCTCCAGGCCCTGAAGGCCGGCAGCTAAGACCGGCAAAAGTGCGGAGCCTCCGAAAAAAAAAAAGCGCGCCTAAAAAGGGGATCCTCTAAGGGTCCTTTAAAGGAGTCCTTCAAAAAGCATCCGAAAAAAAAGGCGCCTAAAAGGGGATCCTTCAAGGTTTTGGGGTTTTGCAAAAAGAGTGTCTAAAAGGGATCCCCTAAGGTTTTAGGGTTTTAGGGATTTAGGGTTTAGGGTTTTAGAGTTTAGGGTTTTAGGGGTTTAGGGGTTTAGGGTTTATAGGGTTTAATTAGGGATCCTCCAAGAGTCTAGATAGTCTTCTAGGATGCCCAGTAGTACCCTTATTCCCTTTTTGTAGTCCTAGGTTCCTTATAAAGTTACCCAATACCCAAAAAGAGAGGCCTTTTTATTCTTAGGTTACTGGGTATCTTAGAAGGGTTCCTGTAAAAAGCATGGAAAAACAGCGCTTCAAAGGGATCCCCTAGGGTTTCCATTAAGGGTTCCTTTTAAGGGGACCTTTATGGGTTCCTTTAAGGGGTCCTTCAGGAGTCCTTTAGGGGTTTGTTTTAGGGTTTTAGGGTTTAGGGTTTAGGGTTTAGGGGTTTAGGGTTTGAGGTTTACAGTTTAGGGTTTTTAGGGATTTGCGGGGGGCTCTAATGTAAGGGATGGATTCCTGTACAAGGGATAGTATAAAAAAAGGATCCTTTAAAAGGCTACTTTAATTCAAAAAAGGGATCCTTTACAGAGTTCCTGCAATTAAAAGGTTCCTTGAACGTCTTCCTTTTAAAGGTTCCGTTAAAGGGTTCCGTTAAAGGGTTCCTTTGAAAGGATCCTTTCAAAGGTTCCTATAAACGGGATCCTTCAAGATTTACAAAAACGTTCCATACAGGGGTCTATAAGGGATTTAGAAAGAATGAAGGTTTAGGATATCGGCAAAACGGGAAAGTGATCCTTCAAGCTTTGAACTGTTCCTTCGAGGCGGAGATCTCTAGCGAATCTATAGGGACTTGCATAAGGGTTGAGGGATCCTTCTGAAGGGTTCCTGAAGGGGATTTGTAAGGGATCTATTGGAAGGGCTCCTTTAAAGGATTTAGGGTTTGGGGGTTTAGGTTTTTTTTGGAGGGGTTTGGGAGTCGGGAGTTCTTGTAACTCCTTTGCAGGGTTTAGGGTTTTGTGAAAAGGAAGATACTGGACTAAGTGTCAATTTGGGAAACTTGTTAATTTCCCTTATGGTTCCTATAGAGGTACCTATTCATAAATACTTTTCAGAGCCCCAAAACTACAACCCTGTGGATCTGTGAGGTTGCAGGGTCTAGGGCTTTGGGCTTCCGCGGGGTTTAGGACTCCAGGGCTTTAGGGCTTTAGCGCTTCAGGGCTTTAGGCTTTACGGGCCTTGGGTGTTCTAGGGTTTTTGGTTCTGGGGGTTCAGGGTCCAAGGCTTTTCTCGTTTTGTAGAGATTTTGTGCACTTGGAGGATCATGGGACCTTGTAACTACTGGTAAGGTTATAAATACTGTAACTCGGGGTATATTTGCTAGTAACTCCAATTGAGGTAACATTCCTAAGCCCCACTATCCTCCAAGTAGTGTTCTCATAGAAAAGGTCTGGTTTAGGGTGGCCCTGGCCGATGCGTTTCATACCGCTTGGGTTCAAGGCACTAGAACCCTAAACTCCCTAAACCCTGAATCCTAAACCCTGAACTCTAAATCCTAAACCCTAACCCTAAATCCTAAACCCTAAATCCTAAGCCCTCAATCCTAAATCCTAAACTCCTGTAAGCTCTTGGTGCGAAGTGCTTTGGGCTTAGGCTTAACTATTAACGGTTTAGGGCTCGAGTTGCCATTCGTGCTCCCCTATAGTCCCTCGTAAGTATAGTCGCTGTAGTATGGCCTACCCCCAAAACCCTATTCTAATTCTAATCATAAAGGCTTGTACTATGCAGCATGAATGTTTTATTGTTCGAGCTTCAGCTGCACACTTTTGGATTCTGAGTTGCGGTATCTTAGTGAGGCGCACAGCAATCCATGTACTGTAGTTGGGTACAGCTCAGAAGCCACAGAAGCCCCAGACGGTATCCTGCTGATATCCCCGACTTACAACCTGCTTACTATGTTCCCCGGTCCTTGAAGCAAGGGAGCATTCTTCCCCACAGTGGTTTAGGCTTCGGGACGTTCTCGTTCTCGGGTGTCGGCTCAACCTTTATCTTAGAAGGACCTTAACAATTAGATTAGGGTTTTGGGACCATGAGGGGACTGCTAGAGTGGGCCTAGCGAGATCTGAAACGGAATTTTAAAGGCGGGCCTTTAGGGCTTCAAGCCTTCCATGGCATGAATACGTAAGGTTGAGGTTGCAAGCCTAAAACCCTATACCCTAAACCCTATAACCCTAACCTCTAAACCCTAAACCCTATAACCCTAAACCCCAAACCCCATAACCTATAACCCTAAACCCTAAACCCTGTCACCCTAAACCCTAAATCCTAGGGGGCTTTCAGCTCTTCGATGCGTGTTGTCCGCTGCAGCTGAACACCCACCAGCGCACCTTATCCTGATCGCTGGACACAGAAAACTTAGTAGAGGAGCAGGTAACCTGTGACCTTGTTGGGTATTCTAACCCCTGTACCTTTTAACCCCGTGGGATACTGGACCAGTGGGCAAATCCTTATCTCTGCATGCCCAGCCCACGCGCCTAAACCTCAAATCCCCAACCCCTGACCCTAGATCCAAACCTCAAGTCAAGCCCTAAGTCTTAGACCCTGCGCCCCTAAACCCTAAACCCTGAACTTCCGAGCCCCTAAACCCCCTAAACCCCCTAAACCCCCTAAGCACCCTAAGCGAGCGACTCTTTCCCACTTTGGCCTTCGCACGCCCCGGGGACGGAGCCGAGGTGCATCCCCACCAACTTACCTTTTGGTTAGTAGGGAAAGTCTAGGTAGGCCCTTGGGATATCTTATATTTTCCCTTATTGGGCTTTAGGGTGTAGGGTTTAGTTGATGGAGTGTTCGGTAGGGTTTTGTAGGCGCAGGGCTTTGAAGGGGTGTTATACCTTTAAGGCTCTTGGAGACTTTGTTACTTTGTTCCTTTTTTGGTTCAGGTCTTCTTTTATAGGGGTCTCCGAAAAAGTGGTTTTTTGCTTACCTTCCAAGGGGAGTAGAGATACGGCTTCATAGTTTTCTATACTGCACGGTTTGAGGATGCAGGTAAACCCGACACCTGCAACCCTGTATCCGAAAAGGGTTTCTTGAACAAGGGCAGGTGTTCAGGGGCTTTTAAAATAAGAAGCACCTTGCTATATGTGTACTATCTGGGGTTGTGTATATGGGTGCCTCTCTTGAAACTCTCCGTTTCTTGGGGCGATTTGCAGTTTAAGCATATCGAGGAACCCGAAGCATTAGTACTGCTAGGTATTCAGGATACCACCCAGCGCTCTCAAAGTATGAGTACTACACGAAAGCACAATTGAGCGCTAAACCTGAATGCGCGTACGAATGCCTAGTGCCCAAAAGCTCGAAGACACCCAAAACCCAACACCCCTCAAACCCTGAACCCAAAAGCAAAACCCAAAATACGAAGCCGTGTACCGTCACACTCTGCAAGGTTTCATGAGGGTGCCCTAAACCCTAAACCCTAAACCCTAAACCTTAAACCCTAAACCCTAAACCGTAAACCCTAAACCTTAAACCTTAAACCCAAAACCCTAAACCCTAAACCCTAAACCTCTCTTTCATATGTATATTTAAAGGTTAATGGCCTTAGTGGTTTGGGTCCCTCGGGGGCCTGTGCGACCACCCCGCAGGGACCCAAACCACTAATTTGGCAGTGCTTTCCGGCCTGAACACTGCCAAATTAGTGGTTTGGGTTTGTCGGACCATTTTGCAGGGACCCAAACCACTAATTTGGCAGTGCTTTCCGGCGTGAACACTGCCAAATTAGTGGTTTGGGTCCCTCGGACCACTTTGCAGGGACCCAAACCACTAATTTGGCAGTGCTTTCAGGGACAAAAACCACTAATTTGGCAGTGTGTCCGGCCTGAACACTGCCAAATTAGTGGTTTGGGTCCCTCGGACCCCGCAGGGACACAAACCACTAGTTTGGCAGTGTGTCCGGCCTGAACACTGCCAAATTAGTGGTTTTGGGATGTGGCTTGCGCAACGAGTTTTAGAGTATAGTAGTGGCTTCTAGGGTTTTAAGGCATAGTTGGTCGGCCTTTAAGGTTTAGGAAGAAATTGTATATTGTTCTAATGTTTTGGGATTCTTTGGGCGGGTGGGTTTTTTGCTACTACACTGCTGGCCTAGTGATTTCTTAGCCCAGCTAATCGTAAATCCTAAACCTTAAACCCTAAACCCTAAACCCTAAACCCTAAACCCTAAACCTTAAACCTTAAACCCTAAACCCTAAACCCTAAACCCTAAACCTTAAACCTTAAACCCTAAACCCTAAACCCTAAACCCTAAACCTTAAACCCTAAACCCTAAACCCTAAACCCTGAACCCTAAACCCTAAACCCTAAACCTTAAACTCAAGGCATAGGCCGCCCACCTACTGTGGGTGGGCGGCGCTTAAGCCCCTCGACCTCGATGGCGCAGAGCGACCCAAGACGCCTGCCCGCCTCTCCACAGCCATGGGGACGGTAGCACCCAAGCTCTTCAATCTGGGGGACCCCCTCCAAAAAGGGACCCCCCAGGGGGGCCTGGAACTTGCAGCGAGCAGAGTTCAGGGACCTAGGGGCTTCCAGGCCGGTCCCAGGGGGAGACCTGTCCAAATTTTGCCCCCAAGCTGCGCAGGCCCCGCCAGCCCCCCCCCAAAGGCCCTTCCTCCGCCCTCTACCCCCCCCCACACGCCCTGACCCCTCACCTTTCTGCTCCCCTTCCCTGCCTGCCGGCCTGCCTTGCCGTGCTGCGTCGCTGCCCTGTCTCTCGCTGGTTTTGCTGCGGTAGCAAGCTCTTCAAAGCTTTGCTTTCCATCTGCACGAGTTCTGTTCTTCTCACCCTATTTGAAACTGCTGTCGCCCTCTTCGCTTCGGCATCCTT